TAAATACCACTCGTGATATTTAAAATTGTCTCAAATTTCACTAGCCTAAAGGCTCGTGAAATTTCGTATAACAATTTCGAAATATCACTACAAATCATGCTATTACCTATACAAATCGAATCCCTCATTAACTATCACCGAAATACTGAGATTTAATGGCAGCACAGGATGTTCGACCGTAGTCGATTCAAAGCGTCTGAAAAAATTTAAGCTTAAAAGAACTTTTCGCTATGGGTTCGCTATCAACATTCATTTCTACTTTTAGTGCATGCTACCCCTGGCTTTATTTAATATCATTTGCCTATATTCTCTATTCCCTATAGTTGCTGGATGTTTGTTCGTGGAAGCGAGGCTTGGTACTTTGGTGCCCCTGTGTTGATTCTAGTTGTGGTAAGAAATAGGACATTATGAATAAGTCTAAATGAACGCAAGGAGACTACTGAGGATACTTGGTTATGATTTTAGCTCATTTTTGACTGAAAAAATTGGAACTTCTAGTGGTAAATTGTACTAACAGAAATAGACTGTCAAGTTATCCAACCTTGCTATCTTTATACGTATATGTTACTCTTAGCTGAATCTTATCACCCGGGCGTGCACATTGAAGGAAGTTATCACCTGGCAAGACGATCCGGATGATATCAGACTTGAAAGGGCAAAGTAAGTTCAGTATTCGGTTACAATTGAAGGGCTCAGCAGCCTGCCCTGTCTAATATATGACCATGTAGTCGACCTCTTTAAATACTGACATGCTTTCTCTATAAACAGACTAGTTGTGTTCCGGCCACCAACTGACGCAACCTCGACAACAGCTACTTGAGATCAACTACCTGTCAAATCTATCCCAAACCTTTTTTCATTTTAAAAGTGACTTAAAGGGCTTTTGTCTTTACTTGATTTCCGCGCCCCGCTCTCTAGAGTCCGAGGAGTGCGAGATCATTCCCAAACAGTGACTGGACCTGATCCGATCCAGGTTTTGGTGTAGTCTTGTAGTTCATTGCAATATTACAAATGGTTGTGTTAGGCAGGTTTTGAAATCCTAGCGCGGTCTCTAACTTTGGCATTCGTTGCTGTTTTTAAGTGTAATACCCATGTCGCATTGCCTTGAATAATTATAATCATTATTTCAGATATCGCCTAGTGACGTCAGTGGTGATTATGCTGGCGATTGTCTTGACTTGGTTATCTGGGATCCTTGCCGTGAACAACACAACGAGCAAAACTTACCACTACTTCTTTATTGTGTTCTACACGTTCCAGGTTTGAGGATCATACTTCTTTTTCAATTTTGTCCCTAGGCGTCCTTTCTTGCTCTGTTGTCCGCGTTAAGTCCGGGAAAGGGTGGGTCTCTTGTTGACGTCACAGCTCACGGTAGAGTCCAGGACTGACCAAGCCGTGACTTGACTGCTTCTTTTCTTCAAATTCAGAATATATCTTGCCTCTCGAGAAAAATATTTTCCCTGTAAGAGCTAGATCGTCACGCCAAATTTGTGTAATATTTTTGTTACTGCAGGGTTTGTTGGTCCTTCTTTTCTACTGCATCCGCAACCAGGAGGTAAGAGTTTAAATTAAACAACGTTTTTTAACCCCCTAGAGGAGAGTTTTATAGGAGGAGGCTCCGCCCCATGGTCCAGTCCCCTTCCGGCTTAACGTAATGGAGTGATTAACGTAACTGCTTTCTATTAAATATGCACATTGTTGAATGAAACAACAGTTTTACTCTGTTAATGAGCAAAACTGAAATTTGTATACGCCCTGATCAGTATAAGCTGTTTACGTTTAGATTGTTGACGAAGAAGATCTAGGATCGGCTTTAATATTTCGATTTTTGTCCCTTTTTAGATGTGGGAGTTCAGAAAGGGTAAAAAAGAAGAAGAAGAAAAAGAAAAGGTAAAAACTTAACTGAAATACCCATTAAAACTCCAGCATCTTGAATAGCTGTTTCTTAAAATATCAGTGGTGCTTAGCCTGGATAGAATGAAAGACGGGAACACTAGTACTGTAGTACATAGTTGCAAAGTAAAAAAGGTCTGGAGTTAGGGCCTGTTTACATGGAGGTGGGGGACCCCAGATAAGTGAGGTAACATGCGGCGGGTCACCCCACCTATTATGTAAACGTGATCAAATTAAAATGAGAGATTATGTGGAGAGGCGGGTTACCCACCAAAGCGGGTTACCTGCCTACCTGGGGTCTCCCACCTCCATGTAAACAGGCCCTTAAGGGGCTGAACACACTCTTGCATTGTCTCAAAGCTATTCATTCATCTAGGTGCATTACAATTGTTCAACACTTAGACATTTTTCACTGCACAGCCTTTATTCAATTTTAGAAATGAAAATTTAGCCCGCACCATTGTAACAGCTAACGAAACTTAATGCATTATGTTGTACCCCAATTTATCTTCACCGTCTTATTTTCTTTTTCAGAACAAAACTTACGACTTTGTCTACCATCCTTGAAATCAACGGAAGTGTTTTCTAAAAGTTCTTTTGAACGTGATATTTATAATAAAATTGCACCGTCTTGTCAAGACCAGGCCCTTTGCAGCTAGTTATTCGCATGGTACAAAACCACCATGCTAGAGAGCAAAAGATGCACTGGGAGAAGACAAACAAAGGAAGTTATAATTTAAAATAATGTGAGCTCTTCCTTCAGTTGTCTTGTTCCAGTAGGTTCCCTGCTCAACAGCCTGGCGATTCTGTAACGCGTGAATGACTGGCTGCAAAGGGCCTATTGGTCGGTCACACATGGCACAGAAAGGGCCCCACTCGAGCCACAAATAACGTAAACTAGCACTAAAGAAGCCACCGTAAAACCTTCATGAGCGATCATCCGTTATAAGCCAGAGGTCATAAGCTTTCCCAGTCAAGGGCCGGAGTTTCTAGCGTTTGGACCATCTTTTTTCGCACTCAATCGAAGAAGCTTAGAACGGGACTTTTCGTTTTTTCAAATTGGGGGGGGGGGGGGGGGGGGGGGGGGCGGGCTTGGGTTTTTTTGGAAAGCGAAACAGGTAATTTTTTTGTATTCCGTTTGTAACAAAGGGTGAATAACAAATCGCCTGCATTTTGTAAAAGTCTCTGTAAGAAACAAGTAAAAATAAGTCAATCAGAACAGAGTAACAATATTTCCTTTTAGAAGACAAGACGGCAGAGAAGATCGGAAAAAAATGAACTAAAGAACAAACTTGTTCATATATACTTCAACTGATCTCTTTTGCCTTGCGAAAATAAAAATGAAATGTTTGCTCACCAATAATATCGTCATCGCCACGAAAGTAATAAGAGAAAAATACACCTTACTGTGCCGTGCCATTACTAATGTTATCAGTAACGGCAGCGCCTCACCCGATCAGAGCGGCTGTTTGAAGGTTGGCGGGACGTTCTTATTACGGAGAGACGGAAGCAATAAACTCAGTGGGAGTATTGTTGTGAGGGTATGGGGGGGGGGGGGGGGGGGGGGGGGGACTGCTTGAGTATATTTGGAAACCGTAATCATGTAATGTTGTAGATTACGATTGTAAATCAGGTAGTATAACAGATCGACTGCATATTGTAAAGGTCTCTGTAAGAAACAAGTAAAAATAAGTTAATCAGAACAGAGTAACAAGCTGTCCTTGTAGCAGAGAAGACGGGAGAGAAGATCGGAAAAAAATGAACGAAAGAACAAACTTGTTCATTTTTCTTTCATCTGCTCTCTTTTTCCTTTCTGAAATAATAATGAATAGTTTGCTCATTAATAATAACGTCATATCAACACAAGTAGGAAGAGAAAAATAGAACTTTGTATTGATCGAATAGGAGATTCTGAAGAAGATTAACGTTGAAAGAAGCTCACTTGTCCATTTACACGACACTTGAAGGAAGATGCTCGTAGAAAAACATTATCCAGTTGATCTCCAAAAGAACACTGTAATCCTTACAATTCATACAAGTTTCCTGCGCTGGTTTCTGAAGAGTGGCCGGAATGTCATGCTGGTTTTTGTAACGTATACGTACAGTAAGCGTTTAAACACAAATTTAACCAATAATAAACATAGATTCAGGAATATTTACAGTTGTAAAAAGTCTTGTCATACAAGGAGGAAGAAGTAGCTCCGGTTTACAAAGAAACCGCGTCCCTTCTAAAAGATGTATATTTTATCCGCAAGCGCATCCAGAGAATCTACAAGACATCACCATAGAGTAAAATCCTTTGCTGTGTAGCTTTAGCTTACAATTCAGTTTTTTCAGAAAAGCCGTTTGAGGGAAATTATTCGACATTAGATTCTCATACAAACAGTGTAATTTCTCACACTTTTGCCTACTTGTCAAGGTGGCTTCCAAAACCGTGATAAAGCCTATTACACTTGTAAAACTTTTATTAAATTAACCCCAGCTCTCATTTTCAAAGGTATTTGCCTTTGCCATTCATTGACGTGAATAAGAAGAAATTTGTAGGAAATAGCCTGTTTCAGGCTCTCAGATAGTGGGGATGACGCGCGTAAGTGAAAGGCACGCGAAAATATGAGGTGCACTTCACCCGGTAAAATTCAGGCGAAATGACTCCGCATTTCGAGCGACTTCACTGTGGTTTCGGGCGACATGACTTTCGGGCGACTTGACCGGTTGCCGCGGGAAGACGCGTAAGTTTTCACGCTCAGTCTTGGCGACTAAATGCATGGTCGTGATAAACCCAAGTGTACTAGGTAAACCATTACAAAAAATGACATTTAAAAATTTTAATTGCAAATAATACTATGTTCATGAGACCTTACTCAACTACAAAAGTTAAACGTCGGACATCGCTGCCAACGCAATAGTTAGCAATCGACGAACATAAAAGAAATGCCCCATCCCTCTCCTGTTATAAAAGAAATGTCATCCCTTTCTAGTATTACCTTGGAAAACCCGGGGATCTCCAATCAAAAGAGGAAATACCAAGGGGGAGGAGGTTGGGGCATTTATAAACTTACATTGTAATACTACGGTGCGCGGCTTTGTTTGGTGCGGACAACATATGGAGACAACAATTATACCAGTGGCGGATCCAGGGGAGGGCCCCCCTTACTTTTGGACCAAACGGAGGCCCGAAGGGCTGAAAAAATTTTTTTGGGAGACCGCTCCACCGTTATCTTAGGGTATGGATGACCGCCCCCCCCCCCCCCCCCCCCCCCTCACAGCTTGGCTCCCGCCCCCCATGCCCTACCCATTTCCCTCGCTTTATTGTTTTTCACTATTCCTCCAACAATAGGGGGATTCTTTAATTTTGTCGAAAATTGATCCACAAACAACTGTTGCGCAAAAGGACCAAACGGAAGCACGTAGGGGCGAAAAAATTTTTTTGGTAGACCCCTCTGCCGCTATCCTAGGGGATGGATGACCGCCCCCCCCCCCGTCCCCCCTATCTCAAGGTCTGGATCCGGCACTCAATGCCATAACGATTTCCGACGTTGTACTAGTTTGCACTACTCCTACAAAATTAGGGGTATTCTTAAGTTTAGCAGAAAATTACTGCAGTGAATAAGGTGGCGCAGAACAAAATCAATCCAGATTATTATTGAGAATTGTTCAAAATAACATTAACTTGACCTCTTCAAATGACTTGCTTCTCAATAAGGTTTAAATTAAATTAATTGCAAATATAACTTTGTCAGAAGAGGTAACAAAGTACCATACACTATATTCATACACAGTACAAAGACTTACGGAAACTACAATGTACAAACCACGCGGCCACGACTCATCGTACTTATGGGTTTTCCTCGTTACAAAGTCATTTCACTTGATTTCATTTTCGTATAATGGAAAATCGGCCTATAAACATAATACGAAAGAAGAACCTTTCTTCGGGCTCCATTTCTTATTGAGCGCGGTGGAAAATTCCTCAACGCTCTAGCCAAAATACAGGGGCACCCAACGACTGTTTTCAAATAGGCAAATATTGCCTAGAGTTTTCTATTACTTGAGGAAGGCTTAATGACCGTTCCATTCATGTGCAATTTTGGAAGCTTATCTAATAAATTCCCTACCACTTTCTGAAGTTCAATTTTTCACATTTCACCCCCCAGGTTAGGCTATTTTTCGTAGAATAAACGAAACCTAAAATTTTCGCATTCAAAGAAGTGAATACTGAATCCCTCGTAATTTCGAAAAGACTGAAGTTCCCCTAAGAAGACCGAACAGATACAAATTTTATAGCGCCGCTTAGAATACATTTCTAGATATCTCAAAGTACTCTGGATAGCCTTAAAAGTGTTTTCAACATCTTTCGAAGGAAACCATCGTTGAGTGTCCCTGAAAATACAGCTGAAAATACTAGACACTGTCTAAGACCTGTTACACAATCACAGGCCCTTTGGGTTCAACTCGCTGAGGTAAAAGTAACACAGTAAGTTGAGGTTACGTAAGAAGTTACGCACTCTGCTGCAGTGGACACTCGATGAAACAAGGTCAAGGCTTGAGCACTCAAATCCATACACACCACTGTATTCTGTCACCTGATGACTATAGCTCGTGCTCTTGTACACAGTCCAAATATGTGAGAATGGTCTATAAGCAATTTAGCTCTCTGGCCCGAGTTGTTCAAAAAGTGGATAACGCCATCCACCGAATAAAATCTTGAACTATCCAATGATTCCGTCTTAGGGAAACCAGTTGCGTCATCTAGTGGTGTGAGCTTTATATTAATTTATCCTCGAAGATATTCACATTTTGTTGCTGTTAGCCTGTTCGAGATAGTCGGGTCTGCTGAATTGAGAAAGCGAGAACACAACTTTTCGTTTACCCTATACTATATTCCTATATTGCTGTCTTCAATTCGAGCATATAGATTATTGATCGATCGATTGATTGATTGATTTCTACGACCTTTATGAACAACTTGGGCCTGAGCAATTGCAAATATATTTGCAGATATACCATTCTATATCACATCAACGAAGGAGTTTGCATAAGTGGATTTTTTTAAGCAAGCAATAATATTGCTCTCAAGCTTCATGGATTCATAACCTGGCTTCTACAAACGCAACTCAGTTTGTACATTTATGTAAAGAATGACAGCACATACCTTTTAATCCAGTTGTTAAGCGATCTACCTTCTAAGCAAACCAATGATAACTCATGGCAGCATGCATTTAAGGCAAAATTAGTTTAAACCAAATCAATTTTAACTGAGGTGCCTGTATACTGACTAAAATGGTTGCTTTCTTAAGTTAAATACTTAACAAATTATTCCTCGAGCCCGAATGTGCTCTGAGTCAATAGCCCATAAGGCTGAAGGCCGAATGGGACACTGACTCAGAGGCCATGCGGGCTCGAGGAATAATATTGTTTTAGTAAAAACCTACTAGGTGGTAAAAAATATCGAGACAAAACAACTTTAGCTAGCAAAACGCGATTCAGCCGCCATTGTTTTGGTTTTCAAAGCTGGTGCCTTTTGCTACTAGTGGGCTAAAACATATAGCCTAGTAGTAGCTCAACCAATCAGAACACAGCATTGATAATAGACCACTAGTTGGATTTTACTAAAAGGAGTAACACATGCTCAATGATGATAATATACTGTAATTACACTGTAGTTACCAAAATTTAGAAATTACCCAAAATAATTATAATTAATAATTATACACATAAGCTTGAATATAATTAGAGGGCTGGGAAATGGCTAACTCAAAACAACATGTATTTATGTTATGGAAACATAACCCAGTCCAGTAATTATTATCGTATGTTTAAAGCTCCATTGTCTTTGACACAAAACCTAGACTTTTTGCTTTCTGTCAAGTGTCAATACACCATAATTTTAGTCTCTCAAGATGAGAGTTCTCTTCTCACCAGCTAATACAGCCTGTATGTCATTTAACAGTGACCAACCTGACCACAGTATGAAAACAAAACAGCTGCATTACTTATGTTAAAATGTCTCACAAAAAATCATTTGAAAGTCACCGCTATTTGTTTTTCTATTTGAAATCAAGATCATTACAAGTGATTTTCACTAAGTGATTTTTTGATTGGAACAACCTACAAAGGTGTACAAGTACACTACAAGGATTGCACATTAAAATTTACAATGAATTGTTACTATTTGTAGTGTCAAGTCACACTGTACTAGACTAAATATAATTTTACAAAGAAGAGTTGTTGTTGTGCAAATAACAACGTCAAAATATTGTTTGAAAATACAATGATGTAAACACATACAAACTGTATAAGCACGCAGTGTTTTCTTTTCACACCACAGTCAGGATGAGCAACTGACCTTTGACAAGCCAGACAGTGGTTTTCAAGCCACTTAACTTCATTAAATAGAATAAATCCTAAGGTTTTCTTAAAATACCAGTTGACTCTGATATTGTCTATAAGAAAATATGTTAAGATCATAATGAGAACACTGATTTAGTAGTAGAACCTGTTTTGCTCATGGTGTCCTCATGTGCCTGACAGGAAAAAAAAATGATGTAGAGTCATAATTATCATTATTAAAAGAATGATGAATATTTAACAATTATTCCTCAAGCCTGAATGGGCTCTGAGTCAATAGCCCATGAGGCCAAAGGCCAAATGGGCTATTGACTCAAGAGGCCATGAATAATGTTTTAGTAAAATCCAACTAGCTGGTCAAAAGTATCGAGAAAAAACAACTTAAAGTAAGACTTTAATCCTTTTTTTGCTGCCAAAAATCCGGTGCTTTTCGCTACTAGTGGGCTACAACATATAGCCTAGCAGTAGCTCAACTAATCAGAATGCAGCATTGATGATAGACCACCAGTTGGATTTTACTAATGCAGTAATAGGTAGCTAAACAACAATGATGGCAAAGACTTAAATGCACTTTAAAAGAGAGTTTTTGCTGTTTCAAACTTCACCACTCTTATTCCATTTCATTTAAAATGTCAAATGTTTGCAAATTTTTAAGGGGTTGAATTTTAAAGACTGTATCTAAGATCAGAAAAATAAAAGTAAAATCATCGTTTTGTTTTGATGTCCTCCATACAACAAAAAATTGGGAAGTTTCATGTATTGTGGGAATAAGTGTACCAAAAAGCCTGATGCAAATGCTAAGTTGTTCTTTTGTACATCTAGACCTACTGATTTTTTGCCATTCTAGTCATCCTACCTTTGTTGTTGCTTATGCTCCCTAATAAATTAACAACCTTTTTCACAATGACCGTGCATGTTTGATTGGCTGCACGCAATTTCGGACAGTTTTACTGTATACTAAATAAATCTCTCTCTCACCTGATAACCTATAACAAGCTTGCGTGGAAGGCCAAGACGTTCTTTAAATTTACGCCTGCATAGAAAAAAGCCCTAAATTAGGAACTAATACAATGAAGGCACATGTATGTGTGCACCTTTGCTATTAAAACTCAAAAACTCAAATACAAAACTGTTTCATACCCTATACTGAGGTTGGTATCTTGATCTGACGCGTTACTCGTCCATATTGCCAGTTTGTCTCCCTTTGTACGGATTTGAACTACAGCTCCACATACACTATCAGAGCAATCTCCAAATTGCTCACCAATAAGAAGCATCAACTATATAACAAAATAGTTACAAACTTCAATATTTTTTCATGAAATAATTGTACCTGCAAATCCTAGCATGTGCCCTACTTTTCCTGGACTGTGATTTTCAGCAAATTAAAAAATTATGACAGCCACTAAAATGATCAGTTTAAGTTGGCAGCATTAGACCAGTTTGAAAATCCTTCACTCACAGATAAATTTTAAATTTTGGGACCTGGAGAAAAACACATTTCAGTGTATTTTGGAAGCTATACTGAAAAATACGAATACAGCCTTTTGTTCTTATGTCTCTCCTTGCTCCTTGCCACTACTGATGTTTTCAGGAGAGACATCTGCGATTCCACCCCCAAAATTCTATGTTGATGACATTGTTTGTTCAGAATCTGGTCAACCAGTGCTGATTGGTCAACTTGTAGCAATTAAATTTTTTAGCAACTGTTTACAAATGACAGACAAAGAAACAAAAAAATCACAACGATCAAATGTAATAAACATGATGAATCTGCTCAAAAACAGTTTTTATTCATAGAATATAATCTTCTTTACAAGAAGCATTTGGGTTCTGCCGATGCTTGTTCCCAGTAGAACTCAAAACTTTATAGACCCCATCACAACCAGATTAATACTGTGTAAATGTTGATTCATATTCTCAGTATTGAATTTATGGCGCCAAATCACAAAGATCTCTCCTAGAAAACATCTCTAGTGACGAGGAGCAAGGACAGACAGCTGTATTTACAGGCTACTGAAGTGTTTATCTACCGGGTAATGTTATGTTTTTGAACAAAAGACAAGAAGAGAAAATTGCAAAGGAGCTGATTAATTTTTGTTAATCACAAGGACTCCAGCACACTCTTATTACCGTTTCAACCCATAATCTGTCAAGGTCTTGTCTAGAATTTTTCTGTGTATTTACTAGCCAGCGTCCCCCTTGTCTGTTTCTTTCATCTTCCCACATTGGCTCGATGCCTTCCTGTTGAACAAATAAATCATGAGAAACAAACAATGATTGGTAAAAGTTTCAAGTAATTAAGATGCATTGATATGACAGTTGAACCTCCATTAAGCGGCCACCTCTATTAAACGGCTGCTAATCAAAGTTCTAAAATAATAGGCCACTTGCACTAAGAGGTCACGTGACCAATGCTTCCTTAAAACAATGAGTTGGACTCTTGCTGATGCCAAAAATTGACAGAGCACATAAAAATTATCTTCCACCCAAAATTTGAGAGGAAAGGCATTTAAGGGAGTTATTTTATGGCACTTTAATTTTTCAACAAAGTAGTATGATTTGTATAATTTGGCCAGCAGGTTGGTGGGCATACTCTTGCCCTCCAACATGGCGGGCCAAAACTAATTTTGCTTATATCTTGTTAAACGTTTGAGAGTTACGCTCAGATGTGCTTTAAACGTTACCACATCATCTTTTCAACATTTTCCTTGAAGTTTAAGTGCAAAAATTTGCATTCAGAAAGAGGTAACTCATAATTTTAAAAATCACATTTTGGTCACGTGACCAGCTACAAACTTACTTATTTTAAGAAAATGGTTCAGGTTTGAAAAACCAAATCAGTATTATTTTGTTTAAGATATGACCCACTTATCATTTTTCGAAGGTAAAAACTCATAACTTTCATAATGTCATAAAAACAATGTCACATGACCTCTTAGTGCAAATGGCCTATTCTTGGTTTTCACTCACGTGAGAAAACAAAAATAAAAATGGAAACCTTTTAATACAGAAAGTCTAGAATCTGGGATATGAAATAAGATAAATATACAAAAAGCCTTGCAAAGAATCAGGTCTATGCAATAGTTCATATGCGAGATATTTGGAAAAACGTTTTACCCAAATTTATAAAGCTTTGTATGGAGACGCCATGTTTGGCCTTTATCAAACAGCCACCTCTACTAATGGGACCGTGGTCACCTTTTGGTTGCCCAACAAGATTTCTCCCATTGTTGTCACCTCTATGAAGCAGCCATCAACTTTTAATAGTTTGGCTTCATTTCAAGATCAATATCAAGAACGAATATACCATCTAAGATAGAAGGTGATGAGTGATTGTGGACCAGTAATGTTATGCTTCTCCTCTCATTTATTTGTTTCAAAATAAAGTGATGTTTCTGCTAAAGTGCTCAATAATATTATTTATGACGAACCCTATTGACAACTTTCATTAAACTGCCACTTGCCAGTTTTTCAAGGGTGGCCGCTAAATGGAGGTTCAACTGTATTATATTTACTAATCTAGAAAAATAATGAGCGGGAACCAGGTGATAAATTTTAACAAGTGAGCTTTCACATAAAAACAAAATCCATAAATTGAGCAGGCTTACATTGCACTAAGTTAAATAATTAGCTAGCCATCAGCAAATTGAATTTCTTCTCCTGTACCTTGAACAATGAATAATCACATCCAGATTGCAACTTGCTTGCAGCTTGAATATGGTTATATGTCCTATAGTAGTAATTAAAAATAGTACAACATACATAATGTTAGTAATACGTAACCTTGTTTTTCCATTAACTTTTTCAATATTAAATGGAGACTTGACTTCAACCAGAACAATAAACAACTCATAACCCTTCCACTCGCCACGGACCATGTTACGGCAAGATTTTTCAATCGGCAGGCAGGATTAGCCCAGTCGGCAGGAACCAACTGGCAGGAAGGAAGCAAACGCGGCAGGATTAGCTCAGTCAGTAGAGAACTTGACTGCAGAGCGGGAGGTCGTGGGTTCGATTCCCGAGGCTGGACCAATACTCAGGGTCTTAAAATAACTGAGAAATGAAGGTACTTCCTTTGCACTGCAAGCGGCGAGACCTTCGCGTGGCTCGGATGACCACGTAAAATGGTGGTCCCGCCTCCAGTAGGAGATGTAAAAATAGTGTCCCCAATTAGCACTTTCGTGCTAAATACATTGACACTCAAATAAAGTGCATTTTTTTTCCCTTGTCTCTCTTAGGGCCTGTTTACATGGAGCTGGGACATCCCAGGTGGTGAGGTAACCTGCCTGTCCTTATAGTCTCTCATTTTATTCATGTATGTACATGATAGGTAGGTTGACCAAATGAGAGATTATATTGACAGGTGGGTCAGAATCCCCCACCTCCATGTAAACAGGCCCTTACATATATCTGTAGACAACACAAAAATAAGGGTGCTTATACCAATTACATGAAACCTCTTTGTGAGAACATCTCCATAGTACTGTTTGTTTCTCAACATTTGCCACAAAGAAATTCAGTTTTTGTGAATTTTATTTTTTTTATTAGAGTGAATGAGTACAAGAATGACAGTTAAGTGCACTTTAAGTTTAGCAGGCCTTACACCAAATCTCAAAATCCACTACGAACATCCAGAAAGGCCTGCAAATATAAATGACTGCAAACTGTGCAGCTTGAAAATACTTTGTTTAGGCTCTAATGTGATGAAGAATTAAACAAAAACCATGTAGTTGTACCTACCCCCAAAAATCTTCAACCTTGAATGTTTGAAGTAAAAGTCAAGGATGACATGTATTCTCAAAAATGCGATATAACAAAACTGTGGTCATAATATTCTCAATGTTTGATGCAATCCTCATCAGTTATCTTACACTGTTAAGTTCTTAGTTTTAGCCTGTGGTGAGAAAAAAATCTTTTTCACACATTAGATTATTTTAAAAGAGAATTGCAGGTTATGAATAACATTTACAGGAAGATTTTGCTCCCTTACAGCAAGTAGAGTGATGCAAACATGTAGCATTATTTCCAACATCTTGGTCATGCTTGATCATACAATGACCATTATATTGAACTTCCTCTCTTGCTGATTTTTGTGTTGTTTCCTTAATGTTTTTCCTTCCAAGCTTGTCTGTTTCTAAGGTTATACATGTGGTGTGTTTTATGGTATCTTTATGTTTACAAAGATTGTACAATGTACACATGTATGGTATCAAAAGAGAAGAATTTACATGTATCTGTGGATTAATACTATTACAAAATATCAATTTATTGTATAAAAAAAATGTACTGCTTACAAACTTTAGCAAGGACTGTCAGAGACAGGTCACTGTTTTTGCTGGTAATGGACTATAAATGTATCATATGCACCATGTATACAAACAGACAAACAAAAAACACTCTACCACATGAGTCAAAAAGGTGGACGAAAGGATACAGTATCAAAAGAAGTTACCAGGCGGAGATTATCTTTCCACGATTTTGTCTTGTCATTTTTGAAGAACCATAGAGCCCATTTATTTTGTAGGGGATGTTTTTTTGAAGACGGTGTGGTAGTTAAAGCACCTCCTGTTGATTGACCATCTTTGGGCTTTTCCTGCTAAAAACCCAAGACAAGCATAATCACGTCCATGTAACAACAAGTGAAGAATAAACAATGGACCTTCCTCGTTTTTCTTCCCAACCTTCGAGATGGTCTAGGCTGGGAATACAGCCATCTCTCCTCAACCCCTGCCACTAGGGATGTTTCGTGGGAGAGACATCTGCACCTGAACAACAGAAATTCTATAATGATGATGTACATCAAGGTTTAATTATTCTTGTAGCCAAGGAGTTCCTAAAGCAAATTTGTTTGAGTTTTAGTATTCTGCTCATCTATTTATCTGCTTTTGATCTTTTTTGCATGGAAAAGAGGTGTTATAATAATAATAATAATTGTTATTATTATTATTACTATCGTAAATTCTTGTGTTCGTCTGAGAACGAGTTGCAGCAAAACTCATATGTTTCTTTTAAAGAAGAATATATTCCAAGAATAATGACTGCTTTGTGGTAGATTTATTGGGTTTTACATTTGACCTCTGTGGCCTTTGTCTTTAATCTGTCATTTATAAACAGCAACTTAAAGAATGCAATTTCAGTCGACTCCCGATAACTTGAACCCTCACTAACTCGAAGCTCACACTAACTTGAACCAAAGTTGACTTCCCCTGGATTTCCTTCATACATTTACTGTAATTCTACCCTTGGTAAACTCAAACCCTCAATAACTTGAACCTCCCACTAACTTGAAGTAATTTTTGTTTCCCTTCACATCATTTCTACATAATTTTACCCTCGGTAACTCGAACCATGTTTTAAGCACATGACAAGTCGAAAAGAAAACCGCGTAGGGAAGTCAGAGACAGTGGATTTATTTCAAAACAACCGTGTCAATTCTTTGTCTTTACTTTTTTGTCACTCCAGTCCAAATTCAGTGTCCATTCCTGTTTACTTCGTTTGTTAATGGCATTCCCTGCCCATCCATTTGCTTATTAATTGCTTATTTCTGGATATTTGCTTTAAACTACCGATAACTCGAACTCCTGATAACTCGCACTTCCTTCAACTTCCCTAGAAGGTTTGAGTTATCATGAGTCGACTGTACTAAATCAAACAATCAGAGCTGCCGACCAGATTCATCATCAGTATGGAATTTCTGTCATTAGGCACAGACGTCTCTCCTGTGAAACGTCCCTAGCAGCAGAGAGCAAGGGGAGATGGCTGTATTAACTATTTGAAGGCTACAGATGGTCCATTGTTAGTGAAAATCCATTTGACACTGAGTTCAAGTTACCAGGATTTTAATGTTATATGAATTAAAAATGAGCGCTTAGCACTCTATAGTTAATTCATGTGGCCACAAAGAGGTAACAGTCATACTGTTTCTGAGTAACCCCTTTGTGTGTACTCACCACCAAATCATATTCAGCTCTCACTAGTTCTATTTATTTGCAGAACTGAGGCTCTCTGAGGGAGGCTACGTATGTCCCTAGTCTGAAGTTCAAAACCTCTTGTTTTTGCGTAATGAGGAGGAAGCCATGTCACTCTCGGTATTTTTCAATTGTATTTGCGCTTTTGTCTTTTGCTGTCGCAGTTTCAACCCATCTTTGTGTCATTTGTCATCATTCATGCTGTCCTATGTCACTGTTTCAAGGCCATGTAGCTTGTCAGAATTTTACCCTAACAGGGGCCTCAAGTATCCTTAAGTATCCCATTTTAAAAAGTGCTATTAATAACTTTTCTTAATCCTACCAATTAAAGTTGACAATAATCAATAAAAATTGACAGCAATTTAGAAAACTTAAATTGAGAGTATCAATATCACTGAGCAATTATGCCAATCGATATCAATCGATGAATTATTGTCGCCTAAATTGATTGCCTTCTGATGATTGATATTGATTGATTAGGCACACCAGGAAAGAATTTACAGTCTCAAAACACGACTTTAGAGAATGTGCACATATTCTTGGTTTGCAACCATGTGAGAGGGCTGCCGCGTTGGGGTTCAATATAATAGAATTTTTTCTTGAAGAATTTATACATGAAACCAGAGGAGAGAAATGCTTCTGTTCATGACCACCAACATGGCCATCGTGACGTCACGTGAAAACCAGCAATACATACAAAGCGACAGTAAGTTTTACTTTCCGATATAACCACGATTTTATTTTATTTTAGACAGGAGAAAAGTGAAATTTATGGCTGAATATAAGCGTAAGTAAACTTAAAATACCAGGTAAAGTCTTAAAATGACTTACTACTAATAGTGAATATCACGTTATTTCCTCATGAATACCTTTAAAAACTCTTGGCAGGTTAAGAGCAATATGTGTTGGTGGTTATTTTTACCATAAACCTTTTTTCTTGGATAAAATTATGTGAAATATTCGTTTTACATCGTTCCGTGCACACGACGCGGAGTCATAACCATGTCGAACTCATTGGCAGATTTTTTAACAAACAATCCAGCGAAAGTGATACAAAATTGACGAAAGTAGTTCTCAGGAGTTCTACTACCACCTTACCTCCTCCTTGCTTTGTTCCTTTTGATCTTTTGCGGGAATTTCATCGCCAGAAGCCATACTAACTGGAGTAAAAAATCGCTTAAAATCGCAAGATAGTTCACCTTACCGGCGTCACGTGGGACACTTGTACATGCGTACAATCGTTATTCAAACCCAGATTCCCAGCGATACTACAAGACGGCACGAGACTTGGCACGAGATGGACACGAGACTCATTTACAATTTTAAAAGTCTAAAGATGAGCAAGAAAATGAACAAAAGTGATTTCAGGAAACTGCTTTTTACTTTTCGACATCCTCGTCATCTGTGGTGCATCTGTGGCGTCAAAGGGAGATCTCGCCCCCGAAACTAACCTGCACTGTGTCAGGCGTTCTTTTATATCCTTTTTGGGGGGTGGGCGGAAAGGGGGATAAGGTCTGGAAAAAGGGTCCTGCATGATCTGGCATTAACGCTTCTTTTTCACGATTCCGCATCCCGCACTTTTTTCATCGCTTTCCCGAATCCCGTTTTTTGTCCGTCTCCTAAATAAACATATGTTACAAAACACTAATTGATGCAAAAACTATAGCTAATAAATAAGATATAGATCGGCTGTTTTGCCAATATTTTGAATTTAGTAGTGTTTGGGGGCCAGTTTAAAAACGAAATAGCTTTTCATCAGCTCAGTTTGACGAAGCCGAGGGGAAAAGGAGGGAGAGGCCGGGTTTCTTTCCCCTCTCTGACAGCCCAAACCCCTAGATGGTTTATCCTGCTCATGCACTTTTCTTTGCGCTGCCCCTGCCCATGACACCCCACGCGCCTCAACCTAACCCCCAATCTTCTCTCACCCCCAAAACACCAATATATAACAATTATTCACCAAAGTGGAGGTGGCTAGTAGCTTTAACCATTGATTAAGCAGTATCAAAACCAATACGTTGTCAAGGTATTAAACGCTGGTTAACGCTAACCATGCTTCGAGCAACTGGGCCCATCTGGTTGCGTGTAAACCAACCTTTTATTCCATTTATACATCACATCTGAGGTGAAACAGTACTATGAGGGTTTTTATCATACAGACCTCGGACAGAATGCAGTATTTCACAATTGTGCAACACAAATTGCACTCATTCAATATTCAGGACGATCGAAGCACGCGTCGGCTTTTAGCTAAACCGTTAAAAAAATTTCCAAAATCACATATACGGCCAGCCGGTTCTCACTTTTGCAGTGCGAGCTGTACATGTAGCGAATGTTTGAACGAACATACTAGAGTTAAGCTCCAACAAGTCAACACCTGAGCCCGCGATACGGTCAAGTGATACTGGTCAGCGGATACCCTGTTTTGACAGCTGTCAATTGATCACAACATTGATGTCCAATGAATGTGTGCATTATCAGTTTTCGTGTGCTCTCAAACTAGCTAGAGAGTATGAGATTGAACATTGATCGAGATCTAGTAAAACAACTGGTCAGCGGACAGCTTCCAAAAAAATCACGTCACCTTGATGAGTTGACACATGAGCCCTCGATATAGCAATGTGATACTGGTCAGTGGCTATCCGGTTTTGACAGCTGTCAATTGACCAAATTGTGAATGGCCAATGTAGAAGACGTGGATTTGCAAAGACACGCCTGAGACACCCCTCCCTTCCTTTTGATAGTCTCCCCTACCCTACCCGTACAATCTGTAGACGCGTATGTACGTACGTATGCTCGGTCAGTCACGTGACAACCAAGCGAAAAGAGGTTGACCATATTCTATGAGTATGGGGCTCTGTCCCACGCGCGCTTCGCGCGCGAGGGAGCCCCGCTAAAAAGCGACTGGTTACGAGTCTGTCTGAACGCCTAGACAGGCTATTCTGGCGCTAGAAGATTCGTCTGTGGCTGCAAGAAATAACGACACCAAAGCTCTGACTGCACGGGGGCATACCTGTGATCACTGTTTGCTCGTCTGTTGATTACTTGACAGTTTCAATTATATAATCATCTACGTCCGCTCTGTAGTTTACTTTCATAGGAGACCCCACTAAATGCTCGTTTGTTCATCTCTAGAATGTACGACTTCCCGAATTCCCGACAGATAGGGGAAGAATTCCTGCATCCCTTGCCTAAATTTTGGTGAATCCCGCTAACCATCCAAAGCAGTAAAATCCCACTTCCGGTCAAGATATTTTCCGTTTTCCCGAATCCCGCTCCGTATTTTGGTCAAATCTCGGCTGCCGAAAATACCCTCAGTAGCAGGCGGTTTTCTGGTGTGCTATTCGTTTGTGTTTCGTAATGTGATTAAGGGATACGGCCTCGCGAGAGATGAACCGGGGTCAAACGAGAAAACGATGGGGGAGGGGGGCAATACAGTAACCCATTTACGTTTAGATTTAGATCACGAGGAAGTCCTCGTATACATGTACTTCTACGTTACTTTTTCCCTCCTTTTAATTACTATAGAAAGTCCTGCGTGAAACCCAGCCTTCAATTACATTTGCTTTTTTCCTTAAGTGAATTCATTTTCATAAGTTTTACTTCATCAATTTGTGAGAAGACCTTTAGGAACTGAATTTTAACCATGTCTTGAAGTTGTTTTTGTGGTTACTGCTGTTTAATAGTAGGCGTCTTAATTTACAGGCTAGGTTTAAGGCATGCACACACCCGGCTTTTGTCGCAAATAGAACTGCGCGCCGTCCCGAAAGACAAAATGTTTCCAGTTTCCTGTACACCCTGTAGAAAGAAAGATTTTCCTTCACATTTTTTAAACGTTTTTTTAACAATGAAAGAAATTGTATTGGGCAAAATTTTCCTCGTGTAAGTGGTCCTCGAGGTTGTCTCTGAGTATTTTAAAAGGTTGATGACGTCATTCGTCTTGCTTCTTTGAAGCGCGAGCTTAGACACTTTTTTATGATGTCACAGTTCTTCGCTTGTTTTGGGATTACAACTGGCAATGGCAATTCCCATTGAGCGTGGTTTTATAATTGTTTTATTACCTTTGGTTGCCTCATCTTCTATCTGCGTCAAAAAGCCCAGTCTTATCCAGTGCGTCGCTCTAAAAAACCAGTATATACTTCCCATCAAAGAAAGCTGCAACCCACTGAAAAAAGACTGCCAGGCAGGTGACTTAGTAGACCCGCGAGTAGCCAACTGCCATTTAGAACTTAGTGGAAACACCTTTCACTCTTTACTTGAGGGTTTCAAACTTAGCCCTGGCTATAGATGTTTCCCTATTGTACCAGAACCTGATCTATTTCACAGGCGAAATGTGGGACCGAGCTTCGGCGAGCCTCGATGTGTTCCGACAAAGTATAACCGACTCGGAAGTTTTGTTTGCGGCGATCACGGAACACGATGTGTGTGCGATGCACCCCCTGAGACTGGGTATGCAGAGTCCTGGTGGAGAAACACTTGCAGGTACTATAACAGAATTCCCCCGACTTGACGCCGGATATTTTAAGTCGGTGTCTGTAGGAGCTGCCCTGACAGTGGCTTGCGAACAGGCTCTCTTTTTTGGGAAAAAATAGCAAGGAAAGCGAAGTTCCTAGTTCCCCGCTCGACCAAAGGCCTGTTCACAGGCTACCTTGACAGTTGCAGTGATTTTTGTGAACTGCACTTAGGACTATAGCTGGGCTGGGCATGTTTCCAAACCGTGTCTGTCTTATAAGAATTTTTACAGTTGTGAAGTTTCTGATGAGAAAATTTTGGTGGTATTTTGTTTATAAATTATCTGCTACAAGAGAGAAGGTAAAACGGGCCGAACGAGTGCTGTGGAAACTAATCAAGCCTTTAAGCTCAAAACAGGGTTGTAGGACAAGTAGCGAAATCATGGGCGGGTTACCATGACAACTTATATGCTCTGTTTGATGAGTTTATGTAGTTTACCCCGAGCTTTGAAAAACCTACGGATTTAGCCGTACCCTACCCCCGAAAAAGGAAAAACGGCATTTTTCCTTCTTATCGGGGGAGAGTAAGATAACGTGTATGGGATAAGCTTCCAACAACTCGGCTCTTTTGTTTAGCTCGGGAAAAGAGCCCGCACTACTCCCGAGGAAAGACTCTTCACTGGAACAGACCCCAGAGACCTGCGGAAATCGATCCTATTCCTTTTTCGTAATATTTTTTTTGTTATCATAGGTGTCAATTTTTTGTGAACCTTTGTCGCATCCCAAAAGTCTGTGCGAACCGAGCAATCTGCAAAATGTGGGGATCGGAGCTTCGCTGTGAATGTGGCTCTCACAAAAAGGACTGCAAGCCAGGAGTTAATCAGTGTAGAGCTAATCCAGGACTTTGTGTAGATGAAGGAAATATGTGTATAGAGCTGTATGATAATAATATGGGCTGGAGTATAGGAAATGAAAAAAAAGGCGACGGATTTGCTTGTATTTCAACAGACACTGTTAAATCACTGAAAGACAACACTCATTATTGTGACGTTTCTATGGAGACTTTTACAAGAATAGGTGGAGTAGAGCCTAGAAATGAGTTAGACTTGTGCTGCTATCGGATGCTGACATGCGCAGGCGGGGAAAGTATTCCCCCAAAAGGAACTGTATTCAGCTACCGGCCATGTTATTGTAACGTGGAATTTCGAAAGTGCCTTCTTGAAGTAGCGCATGATTTGAAATACAAAAAGAAAGCCCAAGACATGATAAGAGTTGGCGATAGCATAACACACTGCAGTATTGACGACGGCGAACAGTGTGATCCTGCGCGTCCATGGACCTGCAAGAAAGGGGATCTAATTAATCCTAAAATTGCGCACTGTGTGATAGATTGCAAGACAGGCCCTCTGCTCCCAATCTGGGCTCGCGCATGCGCAATTAGGCAATGCAGACCACCCCATCACCAAGACCATTTAAGAATTGTAGACGTACCACTCATTGAAGAAAGTTCAATCTGTAAACCAGTCGAGAAACTGCCTGTTGTGTGTGGAAACCGAGACACTAACACGCGATGTGTCTGCGACGGAAAGCCGAACAGGGACGACTTCACCGATCGATGCCGATGTCAGTATTGGCCCGATCAATGGGGACAAAGACAAAAGGACAGCGATTAATTATTTTCAATTATTTACTCTTCGTTGTTAACATCTTTCTTTGATTAACATGAAATTCTGTGTATTTCTTGTCCCTTCTGATCTTTTCATGGAGTCATAGTACAAGAAACCAACGTAACGTAACAACAATGGACATAGTTCACAATCTTGATTTTGTTGTGATAAAACATTTGCAGGATGAATAAAATTTCTACAAAGTTAGTTTTTAAACTCTTTTGAGCCCGAAATATATTGCAAAATGAAAAATTCCGAACACAATACACCTTACCAACGTGTATCTTAATGTACAATCATTTACTTCGAAAGTAGACTAGAGTGCACAGGATGGGTTCCCTGTACTATACGAGAGTAAAAGAGTCGACATCCCATTTACCGGCCACACATTACCCCATCTGTTAGAAATCCATTCACTACATCGTAAAGTCCCGGCGGCGAGTGTTAGTATCAGGTGTTGGCACTGGGTTTTCAGAAAGATGGGATGGGCGTACTTTCCGTTTGGGACCTAGACTGTAATATGACTGCGGGATCCTAACATAAAACGTCAGGGACTCCTCGGTATCAGATCAGAGACGGACCAGGAGAGTTTCTCCCCTTCTTAAAAATGAGTACTTATGAACTGATTAAATGTTACTGATTAATCGGTAACCATCCTAGCTGTGCTTGCTGAAGTGGAATTTCTTTGTTCATTCAGCGTTATTTAACTTAAAGAATGTGTAAGCCAGAGTCTGACTAATATAAGTGTCTGGTCCAGGTAAAATTATCTGCAAGGAAAGTCATGGAAAGTGATGGCCTTACGTTAAAGTGAACAATTAATCGCCTTAAAGTCTTCAACTGAGAGCCATAAATAAACAGCTTCAGGTGAAATCTAACTTAATGCTTATAGGTCTCCCACCACTCTACGCTTACACAGAAGCTGCAGTTGGCGAAAGAGTTGTTCACTGAAATCAGAAAGAAAATACTGTGAAATGAAAATATAGCTAAGAGGACCTGTCCGATCCAGCAGGTATGTAAGCAATTAATTATAAACGCACTTTCGACCTCTTTGAAAATAACATGGAAACTATACAAACTTTTAAATATAAAAACACGTACCGTGTAGCAGTATCTTTTCAGATTGAAATAACTGTTAAGATAGTACACTCGGCACATGTACAAAACATCGATCAGATCAGGAAGATCGAAGGAGAATCTGCTCGCAGGGTAGAGACAGGCAAAATTGAAGTGTATTTTTCCTTAGAGGTTCTCTGAATTTGTTCGTTCTGTGATTTTATTTTCTGATTGGTAGGCCGAAATTGATGAGTCAGTTATTGAAGGGTTGGATGTTCTTGATCGAAGTGATCTGGAAAATTGGGATTAAATTGGCGACTATTTATTACTAGAGGAAGGAGTGAATTTTTTTTTGAAACACGTATGTTGTGTTACGGCGCGTTTACATACAAATACACACATTGTTCGCGGTAGGCCCACACCAAAAAAGGAAATAAGGCGTTTTCGGAATGGGCTGGTCCGCGAACTTAAAGTTAATGAAAGGAAATTATTAAGACAGTCAAAGGCATTAAAATAGTAATCCCACAAACAACCACAACAACCAAAAATAACATTTATTATATGGAGGAGAGTGTTTTACTGGGAACTAAACCACTCGTAGATTCCATACGCCACTTCATCCGGGACCCGAGTGGCGTATTTTCCGTATGTCGCCTTTGTGAGTGTCGTATCGTTCAATGACGTCACGATTCCCGCCTTTTGCTTTTGTTGAATTGGTTTCTCCATATAATAAAAAGAACATTACACGTTGGCTCGAAGATATGAATTTTATGTTCTCGTGGCAAGAACAATATCTCACGAGTGAGCGAAGCGAACGAGTGAGATATTGTTCTTGCCACTCGAACATAAAATTCATATCTTCTCGCCACCGTGTAATATCCTCTATTTATTTGTAACCCCAAAATTTTGAATAAACATTATTTTCCGTTCGTCACAAGCCCTATCTAAAACATTAGAGTATTATCGCATGTTATTTCATTTTCTGTAGTTGTCAAATCCTCCGCATTAACCCTTTAAGTCCCAATAGTGACCATGATCAATTTTCTCTTAACGATATCTATACATTGTCAAGAGATTTGGTTCTGAGAATTAATAAAATGAACACCTACTGCTTTGCTTTGATCTTTTATCAAATTCTCTCAACTCATTCTTTAAGGAAATATATAAAGATCAGTTTGGAGAATTTGTATGTGGATATGATGGGACTTAAAGGGTTAACAATTCATTCCACACCCACGACGCCGAAGTGTACGCTTCAACAGCGTTTTCTTGTTTTCCCTTAGTCTAAGGGATATTTCTTCAGCATAATTTTCTGTGACAAGAAAAAAGTCTACACTTGCAGTGCTGAAAGCCACTAGGTCACACCAGTTGAAACGAGATATCCTTGATATGTCCTGCGGTTTTGGCAAACTTTGGTGGATTCGCAGGAGGCACTTGAACCTAGTGCTTGCTAAGGTCGTCGGGGCGTGATAGAGCGTAGAGATACGTGACTGGAGACACTTTCGCATCTCAACCGAGCAGAGGTTATTATACACATCCAACGCCGGTTCAAGTGTCTTTCAAAGCCGAGCAGAGGTAGGTTTGATAAAGTTTAAAACTAACCTTTGATTCAGGACTGAAAAAATGCTACTTTATGTCAATGATAACAGTATTCTTTTTCTTAGACCCACGTCATGGCAGAAGATACTTGTTCATTGATCCAAAATGGCCAAAGAAACTGTGAAGCGACAAACAGCAACACCGGTAGCGAAGCTGGAGAAGACCGAAGAAACTCAGTAGAACAGCCCCCTAGGATGAGAACCAGATACCTTGTGGTGCTGTGCATTTTGTTTGTCGAGCTCTGCGAGCGTCTGACTTTCTACGGTGTGACCGCCAACCTGGTGTTTTATTGCAAAGATATTCTAAAGTTGACCTCTCCATTACCCAGTACAATTACTTTGGCTTTTCAAGGTATGAGGTAAAATAATTCATACAGTATGCTAAATTACTTAAATGAAGCCGTGACCTGCATTAGTTTTGCTAGTGTCACGTGCTGAGTCCTATTTACATTGACTTGATGCGGAAGCGTTGTCAATTAATAAATGTAGATGTAGATGTTACAAAGAGTAGGCAAACTGAACTTTACTTAGGTTGTTTACCATTTAAACAAAATTCCGGAAATTTTGGTTAGGAATTTTCGTTCGGCAAGAACGGTACGTGTAGCCTGCGAAGCGCAGACGCATTTCGCAGGCTACGGTACGTGCCGTTTACCATTTGCCAAAAATTTCCGGATTGTCGCGCCACGCTAGACTGGATTCTAGTTACAACATGAAACTAGTACGAAACTCAAGAAACTTGTAAATGGTAAACGAATTTCCATTCAGAACGTCCCAATCGGGAAAACGGGACTACCTTTTCAGAATTTCCGTTTGTCCCGGGAATTTTCCAGTGGGACGAACCAAAAAGACGTTTACCATTTACATCCCAACCGAAATTTCCGATGTGGTAAATGGTAAACAACCTTTACTCTCACTGGCTTACGCACTTGACAACTGAACTTGTAACCTGCCTGCAAGGCTTAAAGGTACATGACAGAGGGAGTTACTGCTAAGAATCCCGGCCTCTTATTACATAGGTTGTCTTTCTATAGTCTAGTAATATTGAAAGGTAACCCGACCGACTATGAAGCCAAACTTTAAGCACCGCTTTGCTGTCTTCCTCTTACGTCATCATCCAAATGCAAATAAAGAGACTAATCGCATGCTTGATTGAATTAAAACTGAAGCGTACCCCGAGTATCTCTATTCACAACCAAAACTTAGTTTGGCCAACATTCTTTTTCTCAGCTGTTCAGCATCAAAAGAATCGACCTTACACCTCTATAAATGATTTGTTTTTAAGAACAAACTTCTCACTTAAGGATGCGGAACTTTCTACTATACGCTCTTGGCTCGTCACGCTTTCATTGAGATGTTAGATTTTGTATGTGTCATAAAGAACTTTAGTGTGCCACGTGGAGGGTATGTAGTCAGGAAGCCGTTTTTTAACGATATGTCTGCGACCAAGCTTTCGTTGAACCGGACATGATATTTTTGTAAGATATGGACACTTCCTCTAACTACGTTTGGCATTCGCCAAGTTCGTCCGCGAAGAAAGCTAAACAGGTTCAGCAATATCACGGTTTGCCAAAAAATGATCGACACAGCATTTCAGCTGACAATCAGAACTGTCAACTGAGATGAATAATCCACTTCCAAGTTCACAAAGCCTCGGTAGTACAAGCTAGTGTAATTCATAACCCTTCCCTACAACAGAAAGGAGTGGTCCGAACCGTCCTAGACTGAGTTGAATCTGCATACTTAGCTAGTAAGTGAGTCAGGCATATTTTACACAGAATCTTCTTTATAAATTAAGATTTTTTATTTCAAAGAAACAGAGATTCAAGCCAAAGAACGAAAGCAGGATAAAGCATACCAAGTGCAATTTATGGTTGGCCAGTGAGAATCGAGCGACGTTTCCTTGGTTACAGAAATGTACGATGCAATTTCACTTGCTATCACACTTGCATTCTACACAAGCTATCAGTGAGAGTCCGATTCCTCGCCGGCAAACCACATTTTCACATGTCACTATTCAAGTGATGTTTAGTTACGTTTATTCAGTTGGGTGGCCTTTGATGATCAGACACATCTTGTGTTTTACTTAAGAAGTTTGAAGAGGAACGGGGAGGTGAAGTCCAAAATAAGATCTAAATCCACGTTTTACTCCTTTAGTACCGTTTTGTCCGTCTTTTGCTGTATAAGATGAAAGACTCCCAATCTTGCCGTCAAGGGTTTTGATTGCATTGTTTGATACTTACAGTATGTCAAACTTCGAAAGTGGTTCAGTCATCTACAGAAGATGGATTTTTTTATTTTTATTCTTTAAATTTTTCAGGAACATGTTTTTTCACTCCTTTAATCGGTGGATGGTTAGCTGACACCCTACTCGGACGCTACAATACCATATATGGATGCTCGCTTCTCTACATGGTCGGTACCTTTCTTCTCACGGCTACTACTTACAGCTACCCACCAGCCTATGCTCTGAGCATGTCAAGTAAAGAAGGATTTTTAGGCGTGTCACTCATCCTTATTGCCATAGGAACAGGGGGAATCAAGGCCAACGTTTCTCCGATGGGCGCAGATCAAGTGAAGGAGCAAGGAGAGCAAATGGTGCAGAAATTCTTTGACTGGTTTTACTGGTTTATTCAAGTGGGCGGACTACTTGCTTTCACTATTGTTGTGTACCTTCAACAGGAAGTGTCATTTTTCTACGGTTATCTAATAACAGCGGTTTCAATGACGTTTGCGACAATTCTGCTCCTTATTGGAAGAAAAAGCTACAAACTGTACCCTCCGGAGGGTAGTTACTTAACTGACTCGTTACTCATCATTGGCAAAGGCCTCAAGGATAAATTCTTATGCAAAAAATCTGTTTCCAGGAGCCACTGGCTTGATGGGGCGAAGATAACAAAGGGGGGAAATTTCTCTGAGGAAATGGTGGAAGGAGTAAAGTCAGTAGTCCAACTATTGCCAATCTTTTTAACTTTTATTTTCTACTGGACAATATTTGGGCAGGTAAGAGCAATTTTTATTTTCTTAAGTGTATAAGTGAGTTGATTAGAACGAAAGGAAAAATAGCTAGTACTCATTATCAATATAATCGTTAAAATTTTTCATCATCATCATTATCGTCCTCATCATCATCATCATTATCATTATTTCTTCATCGTGATCATCATCATCATCATCATTATATCGTCATCTTGATCATTATCGTCATTGTCATCGTCATCATGAGTGGTTAGAGCATTCGAACTAAGACTCGGAGGGTCCTGTCGTGAGTTCGATTTGGATCTGGAGCTCGGAATTTTTTCTGAGCTTTCTGTTGTTAGAAGTTTCCTTCTTCTAAATTATCATCATCGTCATTATTATCATCACCGTCATCATCATCATTATTATTCGACTGCCTTCGAGATAGATGCCATACCACAGGGTCGTATCTCCATTGCTCTCCCAAGTTCTTCAAAGGCTAACCCGGCTTAGCTGAGGCGAAAGAGGAGGGTTGGAGGATAAGGCTTCCACGGCCACTTCGCCCTTTCCAAAAGTCTTGTTAAATTGCTATAACTTTATTTTCTTTTTCTTTAGGGACTTACCACCTATGTCCTTCAAGCTTCTTACATGAACTTAAAAGTCACGGACAATATTTCATTTCCTGCCGCATCACTCAGCCTTTTTGAAATCAGTTCGCTGCTTGTTCTTATTCCATTTATCGACCGAGTGGTTTACCCAGGTCTGCGACGTCTTGGTTTTAATTTTACCCCACTGCGCAGAATCGGAGTTGGGTTGCTGTTTGCCGCGGGCTCGGTTGTTATGGCAGGGGTTATTGAAGTTGAAAGAAAACATATTATAAAGACACATGGAACGTTTGAGCAAGACGTGTTTGATAAAACCGTGAATGCATCCACTATGAGTGTGTTTTATCAAGTTCCTCAGTACATTCTACAGGGAACAAGTGAGGCTCTAGTAGGCGTTACAGGTAACAGTTCACAGTTGTAGTCTTTAAAAACGTTCGTCCTTTAGACTCACCACAAGTTTAAGAAATAACGTTTCTTACTCAATAAAAGAAGAAGGTAGTCAGTAAAGGAAATATTAAGGTTTAAAATTGAAGCCTGTCTTTAACCGATCAGTCGTTTCAATTTGAAGATATTTAGTGTTGTCGGTTCTGCTCTGGAAAACCTGGAAAGTCATGAAAAAGCATTTTATTTTCCATGCCTGGAAAATTATGGAATTTAACTGTTGGTCCTGGAAAGTCATGGAAAATTAGTTTTGTCTGATAGATAAGTTACTGCAGATGACAAGGCTACAGTGACAATGTAAGTGATAAAGAGAAGTAACTAACCAACGCAAACGGCAGACAATGTGGTGGACACCAGAGTTTGTGTCTGTTGAACTGTGTAAAACAAGGAAAGTTTTTAAAATTTTTGAAAGTAACGGCTAAACCTAAGGCCTTGGAAAACTTAAAAAGGTCAATCCATGGAAAAAGTTATGGAAAGTCATGGAATTTCAAGAGCTCAAAAGAGTACCGAACCCTGCGCTTCTGTTGGAGAGGTCCCGAGTGTGATTCTGTGATCTTAAGTCCTTGTTTCCACTTCTTTCCTTTCCGTATAGCTTCCAGTAGCTTAATTGCATTATGAACGGAGCACTGATGGAGAGAGGGGGTAAACTGAACGCAACGTCGGCGTCAGCTTTATAAGTCGCCAGATGATGACTATTTCGAGTTACCGAAGAAACCGTTGCGTTTGTTTATCATCAACACTGAACATAACCTCCTATCACCCCTCCCTCCCTACCCTTTACCACCGGCAAGTAATTTAGCATCGTTTCTTTTTTTTTTCAGGTCTCGAATTTGCTTATTCCCAGTCCCCTACCTACATGCGCGGAGTAGTTATGGGTTTGTGCCTAGCAATGATTGGTTTGGGTTACTACGTAGCTTCAGCGTTGGCTTCCATTGTTAAACACGCATCAAATGGTGATTGGTATCCTGAAGACCTCAACAAAGGATTTATGGAATACTACATGTTCCTGTTGGCGGGACTTATGCTGGTTAATGCTGTTGTATTCCTGTTGATAGCTGTCAAATATCGATATGCTAATTATGATGAAGAAATGACCTATCCGGAAAATCAAGATAGAAACTTGCGTAAAGGAAGTCCAAATGACTACCAGAGTATAAGCGAAGATCCTTAGTTAGATAAAGCTCTGGTGAACATTTCTCTTATTGTTGCATCACGCTTTTATATCTAAGGAACCTGTCAATTAGGAAATTCAAATGATTAAATAAGAGTGTTTATAAAATCGTTCCAGCCGACGATTTGTTTGCAGAGTCAATGCAGAGTCATGCCGGTTACTTAGGAAGTTTAAGTATTCACAACGATCAAGATTTTTATACTAAAAAAATCCTAATAAAGACTTCAGAACAAAACATGTGTAACTTAGGTGTAACTTAAAGACATAAAGGAATCTACCACATTAAAGGTTTTTTCCTCCGGCTCTTCTTCACCCCAAATGGACCAAATGTCAACAGTTAGTTTTATAACGCTTTGTGAAGGCAAAAATGTGAAAATTTGGACAAAAAGAGCGCAAAGTTTCACCCAATTTTGGCATGATATGCTTTTAAAAGAAAATGCAATTTATTTTGACTGTCCTTCTTGTTCTTTTATTGTTATAAAATAAACATTCACCTGCAACTCAAATCTTTGTTAGTACATTACATTTGAGTATGACACTCGAGCCTCTACTAATAAGGGCCTCCAGTCTCGGTTCATTTAACGGCATACAGATTTCCATACAGATTTGAATGTACAGTAAAAACCCGTCACTAAGAACCTGGTTTTTAAGAACCTGTTAGGCTAAAATTTGCCTCTTAGGCCCCCTCTATACAAGAACCTGTTTAGCCTGAAATTTAAAACGGGTTCTTATTTTTAAAATTTTTTTAAAAAAATTTTTATACACTCGGACAAATAGGATAAGTCAACATTCAGGATCCCCTTGGGAGACTTAAGTGCCTTATCACCCCAACTGGAACGTATTGGTATGTAGATATTATGCAAAGAATAAGCTGAACACCACTAAATACTCTTAGCTACAAATATTTATTTTTCCTTAAGAAAATAAAAACAACCTATTTAAGAACCTAAATAACCTAAATTTGTCCTTATTACCATTTACATAAGAACCTATTTAGGCTAACTTAAGAAAAAGCAGGTTCTTTGTCGCTGGTTTTTACTGTACTATTTTTGCTTGGGTTTGTTTACAGCGTATTTTTTTTTACTGTGTTGTGTAACCGTACGCTTTTATATTTTTAACGCTAAACATGTTCTAAATGTCCCTTAAAAAATGGTGTCACATCACGCCTCTGCGTACCTCCCCATTCGTCAGACAAAGTGAAACGATAGTTGGTCTGATATCAACTGAGACGTCTTTATATGCTTCCCGATAACATACACCTAATTGCATTAACTTTGTTATACATGTACAAGAAAAGTGAAAAAGGAAAATAGGCTTATACGAATAAATTAGCCTTGCAAATTACATATTGATATTTTGATAACCCCGAAGTCACCTGGTATAAGTTTCTAATCAGTTGAGTTTTATAGGAAAGATAAAATGGCCTCTGATTTGTAAAGGATTTCAGCCTAACCCTTAATGTTGTGAGAGTGGCGTGCCTAATTTATTCCTATTTAGCTTTTTCCAATTTTTTTTCTTTTTTTCTGTGACAAAGTCGTTTCAGTTAAGGTTACTTTAAACCAAAAAATGGAAATAAGAGACTTATGCTACTTATACACTGATGTATAGCCTATATTTTAAAGTTTAATAAACAAAGTATCGTACACTTTATAGGTAACTAATAGTCTAGGAAATTGAGATTAATGAAATTCGTTCACCAGCGGGCGTATCCATTGTATATGAATTTAATAAAACTGCACTTTACCGAAGTGTTATTTTTAAAGACAACGTTTTGGAGTCTTGCGTGACCTACATGTTTTAAATAGGTGGCCGATTTGTTCCTGGGTGCGCGTCAGCTACCTTTATTAGATGCCGTGACGGGCTCTTCCGCATCGCTGCATCAGCAGGTCCGAACCTTTCGTTGAAGTCGGTGTACCACGAATCTCGTCATTCGTGGCAGATTTAACGTAGGTTTGTAACCTTTTGAACTGAATCTGCTTCTCGCTAATATTTGTTTTTGAGTAATGTTAATATAATGTGAACGACATCGATGTCATATACATGTTTTTGCCTAAGGGTAAACTTCACTATGGCGGACCGCGATGGTTCTCTATTGATCCAAGATGAAAGAGACAATGAAGAAGCAGACAGCAACAGCGAAGTTGAAGACGGTCCAAATTCAGTAGAACAACCCTCAAGGATCAGAACCAGATACCTTGTGGTGCTGTGCATTCTGTTTGTCGAGCTTTGCGAACGTCTGACTTTCTACGGTGTAGCCGCCAATCTGGTGTTTTATTGTAAAGATATTCTCAAGTTGACCTCTCCATTACCCAGTACAATTACTTTGGCTTTTCAAGGTATAATATGTGTTTTTCAGAAACATTTTAATGAATTGCATTCATTTTCTGAACTGAGCAATGAACAAAACTTAAGCCTTTAATAGTTGGGAAAGTTTCTTTCATGACCGGCTTGTCATGCGAGCCTCTGGGGAAGGGGAAGTAATATATAGAACATGACAAGGGAGCTCCTTTTATTGTCTAAACTGTACATGTCTTTACAGTCTAGTCAAATCATAACTAACTTGCACTCAGACCAAATTTTACTTTACTGAACAGCACTGTGATATGCCGTCTTACGTGGTTCGCGTTAACCGTACCAAGCGAAACCAAAATCTGATTTGATCACGAGTTACATCTAAACCAAAAATAGATCCTCTCTTTTTTATAGGACGCGCTCAGGCAAGTGTTCCCACAGGACACCCAAGCTTGAAATATCAACCTCTGCGTTGTTGCGTAACCTTCGATTTGGGGAAAACTTTTGTTTCGACAATATTTGCATTAATATGGTTTTCAGCTAACGTAACACAACAAGGTTAATTGGAAATTATAACATTAAAAGAAAAACTTAACTGTCTGAGTGCTGAGGTCTGCACTCCAGTACCTCACGAATGAAGTAAGCAGTCTCGCTATTAAAAAAATATATTTCTCCTAGGTACATGTTTTTTCACTCCTTTAATCGGTGGATGGTTAGCTGACACACTACTGGGACGCTATAATACCATATATAGCTGCTCGCTGCTTTATATTGTCGGCACCATGCCACCATTCTCCTTACGGCTACTACTTACAGCTACCCACCAGCCTATGCTCTGAGCATGTCAAGTAAAGAAGCATTTTTAGGCGTGTCACTCATCCTTATTGCCATAGGAACAGGAGGAATCAAGGCCAACGTTTCTCCAATGGGCGCAGATCAAGTGAAGGAGCAAGGAGAACAAATGGTGCAGAAATTCTTTGACTGGTTTTACTGGTTTATCCAGATTGGTGCGTTACTTGCTTATACCGTTGTTGTATACGTTCAACAAGAAGTGTCATTTTTCTACGGTTATCTAATAGCAGTGGTTTCAATGACTTTAGCAACCATTCTGCTGCTTTTTGGAAGAAACAGCTACAAACTTCGGCCACCAGAGGGGAGTTACGTAACAGACACCTTGCGTATAATAGGCAAAGCCCTGCAGGAAAAATTCCGCTGCAAAAAGTCTTTGCTTTCGGTGAATCACTGGCTTGATACGGCAAAGATAACAAAAGGAGGAAGTTTTCCTGAGGAAAAGGTTGAAGGTGTGAAATCTGTGGTCCAACTGATGCCAATTTTTTTTAACTTTTATACTCTACTGGACAATATATGGGCAGGTAGGAGCAATTAATTTTTATCTTTCCTTGAGCATCAGACAAGAACGGGGGTAGGGATGAAATAACGGCTCCTTGACAACTGGACAAACAAAAGATTTGAATTATTCGAAATTATATTAGTATCGAACCATCTGATTACAGGCCGTATAAGTAAAAAAGAGAAAGATCTTCTTAAGGATCTTTAAGTGCCCTAATGGTAGCCAAGTAAAGAAGCCCATGACTATTTTTGCTATTTCCCATTAGAATTGCGTTTCCCTGATTATTCTTTCTTCTTTTTCTTTAGGGCCTAACCACCTATGTCCTTCAAGCTTCTTACATGAACTTAAAAATCACAAACAGTTTTTCATTTCCTGCCGCATCACTCAGCATTTTTGAAGGCCTTTCATTGCTTGTTCTTATTCCATTTATCGACCGAGTGGTTTACCCAAGTCTGCAGCGTCTTGGTTTTAATTTTACCCCACTGCGCAGAATCGGCGTTGGGTTGCTGTTTGCCGCGGGCTCAGTTGTTATGGCGGGAGTTACTGAAATTGAAAGGAAACACATCATAAGAACACATGGGACATTTGAGCAGGAAGTGTTTAATAAAACCGTGAACGCATCCACCATGAGTGTGCTTTATCAAGTGCCTCAGTACATTCTGGAAGGGACAAGCGAGGCTCTGGTTGGAGTTACAGGTAAAAGTTACTGCCAACAGCTTTGTTACAAACCTGATATCAGCTCAAATCAATGATGATTGTTCTTGATGGATTAAACGCACAACGATATCTAAAAGGTTATCTTCTCTTTCTTGCTCCACCGTAGCGTGCGAGCTTTTATCATTCACCTTTTCCCGAAACACTGGAGGTTGATAGGCTGATCCAGGCAAAACAGCTCTTAAGGCGCTTTTAAGCCCCTAAAAGCAGAGTCATAAGATTTTTTCAGTATACTGAAAATCCAACGGAAATAGCAGAAGGGCTACCAAAGCCTAGCTAAAAAACACGAACGCATTTTGAAAGTGTCTTAGAATGAATGAAAGCTGGATTAAACTTGAAAACACCAGGTAGTTCTACCCCTGGTAATAAAATTATGGTTGACATCTTTTTAACGTCAGCTTAGTGGTGAATTTCTGATTCTCGGCCTATTTGCAAAAAACCTAACTTCAGAAACCCGGGGGACGGGGGTACTTGGGTCAGGTTTTGCTGGATATGTGCCGCTCGCTGGCCGCACAGAATCCTTTGCCCATTATTCAAGTCTATTCCGGAGTAGAAATATGTGCAGTGTTGTGAAGAAGTGTATGATTTCTTTTCCACGTAACCTCCTCTTACTTCAGATACAGAGGGAAGTTAATATGTTACTGACGTTTCTTTTTAGGTCTCGAATTTGCTTATTCCCAGTCCCCCGTAGACCTGCGCGGAGTAGTTATGGGTGTGTGCCTGGCAATGACTGGTTTTGGTTTCTACGTGGCTTCAGCGTTAGTTTCCATTGTCAAAAAGGCATCAGATGGTGAATGGTATCCTGAAGACCTCAACAAAGGATCTCTGGAATACTACATGTTCCTGTTGGCGGGACTGATGCTGGTGAATGCCTTTGTGTTCTTTTTGTTAGCAGTGAAGTATCGCTATGCTCATCATGATCGAGAAATAATCTTTGCGGAAAGTCAACATGGAGACTTTAGCGAGGAACGTATAATCCGGTAAAACCCGGGTTGCAATGAAAGTTCTTAGTTGACCTTAGTTACACTTAATTAAAAGACTTCCATTAAGGACCTTGCTCAACTCATCCTTTAATGAAGTACTGTCGATAGCCTGCGTGGAAGGCAGGAAAAAGAGGATAGGATGGAGGTATAAGTCCTCTCTTTTTTTCCTTTTCTCCCCGCCCCTTTCGTCTCCTTCCATGCAGGCTATACTCTTGAAGAAGATCCACACAGTTTCTGAAGCATGATAACTGGTTTCTGAATCCTTACTCGACAGAGCGAGAGAGCTCTGAAACCAAATGTCTGTTTAGGTCAGCCTCAAACTCACAGAGTTCTTCCTTAATGAGGTCTCCATCAATGAGCGCGAGTTAACAACTGAAAAGTTTTGAATAGAGGGGCCTTTTTAGAAACCTTGATTTAACTAGAGATCTCTCCCCCTAGCCTCAACCCAGTCTTAAAACTCCAGCTGTGTTTAGCCTGTAAATCTGCTGTCTCTCCTCGCTTCTTGCCGCCAATGAACGCCCCTAATGAAGAGGAACGACGAAAGACGGCTGTATTGGCAGGCTAAGTTGCGTTCCATAGGGTAGTTTATCCTTGCTAAAGATGTAGGGACATCGACAAACTAGGACTGAATAAAATTTCCTTATCAGTTAAATTGAATGCTCGTCTGTGTGTATTAGTAACAACGAGAGCAGCAACAAAATAAATAATAATAATAATAATAATAATAATAATAATAATAATAATAATAATAATAATAATAATAATAATAATAATAATAATAATAATAATAATAATAATAAAGGATCTGGAAATCAAGGACAAAAGTGGTGCCAGTGGTTGTAGGTGCATTGGGTTCGGTGTCAAAGAAGCTGGCAGGCCACTTGGAGCAACTAGGAATTTAAAACCGAACAAGAACGATGCAAAAGTCGGCACTCCTCGGATCGGCACATATCCTCAGAAAGGTGCTGGAAGTTTGAGGTCTCGGGATGAGACTTGACTGGATATTTCTCCCCAGGGAAAATCCCTGTGCTAAATTTTACATAATAATAATAATAATAAGATAGATAGATAGATAGATAGATAGATAGATAGATAGATAGATAGATAGATAGATAGAAACTTTATTTATGTGTCAAGAAAGAAAAACTAGCCCAGGGGCAGGCCCTCTACTAATAGGGGACACCTATAATAATAATAATAATAATAATAATAATAATAATAATAATAATAATAATAATAATAATAATAATAATAATAATAACAATATTAATAATAATAATAATAATAATAATAATAATAATAATAATAATAATAAAACAGATACTAGATGCTTGTTGCTTATAACGTTTTTTTTAGCTGGCAAATACTCTTTATGCTTGACCGCTCCCCTCCAAGAGTTTTAGATTTACATGCATTGTCGAGAAAATTAACCACACTCTAAGCTTTCTCAAATTATACTCTCAAAAACAGTACAGCTCTTCTTACGGCAACCTTGACAAAATCCATATCGAACAAACACTACCTTTCCTTACATTTCGAAGGGTGTCTCCTAATATAGACGCCTTCTAAATTGTGAGCAAGCTCTCCACGAGATATCGTGACAAAACTGAACTCGCGAAAGTGGCAAGGGAGAGAAGACGCCGCGAAAGCGAGGGAAGCGGATGGGTAGAAAAGAGGCCTTTCCTCCTGCTTTACCGTTCGGCCACGCGTTTTCTCGGAGTGGTTCGCTTTGCTAGCCATTAGAAATGAAGAGAGCGCTTGCTTTTGGGCTATGGAGCTTCAACTGTATATAACTTATGTTCACACGCTTTTCTGAGGCTATGCGGGGAGGGTGAACTTCAATGCGGAGGTTTGGGGAAACATTAACAGTTTCATGCAGGATAACCGACAGGCACCCAAAGCTCACGAGCGAGAATCGTTGGGCAGCAGAAATATTATAAGGGTTTGTATGGGTATTTTAGCGATCGTTGTTTAGGGCTCTAAAATAACAATAAATGTACACAATACCGTAAAATTCCGAAAATAAGTCCCTCCATGTATAAGCCCCTCCGAATATAAGCCCCCGGGGGGCTTGTACTTGGAATTTACCCTTGAATACAAAGTAAAACAAAGCAAAAATGGTAAATCAAGCACTTCAAGCTAGCCCAATCGATTTAAAAACGCAAATTTCCCTCCGTACATACGCCCCTCCGAATATAAGCCCCTCCAAAAGGGCCTTTGAAAAATATAAGCCCCGGGGCTTATTTTCGGAATTTTACGGTAACATCTTACCTTGTCTCCTTGTTTTGTTCACGGCGTGTTCTTAGCATAATAAACCCTACATTACGAAACCCCTGATATAATGAACTCCTTTATTTAAATTGCACCGATTTGTGTAAGCGTTTTGTTTTCTTCTCTCACTTGAGTCCAGGTTGAACGCGGCCATGTGGTGCAAAAGCTCAGAGATGTCGGGACGGCTTCCGCATCGAGAAAGGTCTTTTGTTGCAGTTTGTAAGTTAAATTTATCTCATTCAGTGGAATTCGAAGAAGGTTCAGGTAATTTTCGAAATTAAGACAACAGCCTGCCTCTCAACTATTTATCAAGTTTCAAAAGCTATCGTGAACATTATTGCTATGTTTCTAGGTAGATCGAGACAATGGCGGATGAGCAGGAGGCTACGGCCAACGAAAATCGTCCTTTGATATACGAGGACCAAAGGAATGAAGCGGAACAAAGAAGTCAAAGAAGCATCGACGAAAGTCTTCTTTCTTCCGCTGATCAACGGCCTAAGGCTACAACAAGAAACCTTGTGGTACTATGCATTCTGTTTGTCGAGCTTTGCGAACGTCTGACTTTCTACGGTGTAGCGGCCAATCTGGTGTTTTACTGTAGCGATGTGCTAAAGCTGCCCTCTCCATTACCCAGTACAATAACTTTGGCTTTTCAAGGTGAAATCATGTGTATTGTCAGAAATAACGATAGATCAGGGACCGTGGGTCCGGGGTATTATTTTTTTTTTACAAAACCTCTATTAACCCTTTAAGCCCTGAGAGTGATCAGCATCAAATTTCTCCTTATAATATCAATGCATTGTAAAACAGGGTGGTCATGAGAATTATGGACATGATCACACAAGATGAATTTGCTTGATATTTTATCAACTACTCCCCACTACTTCTGCAGGAAATGAATAGGGGCAACAAATGAGAATTCAAATTTTGATCTTAGGGTTTAAAGGGTTAAATACTCCACAGAGTTACAATACTAACTAGGGGGGGGGGGGGGGGGGGGCCGGGGGTTGTTTCCCCGAAAAATTTTAAAAATTTGAGTTTAAAAAAAACCCAAAAAACGGATATTTGCTTAACAACCGGGGAAAAATGTTGAAAATTAATTTTTTTACAGTGAATAAAAGTCATAATTTTTAAATTTTTGTTAAGTTTTGTTTTTGTTTAAAAAAAAAGAAAAAAGGGGATAAAAAATTAATTTTAAAAAATTTTTTCCTGTTTTATTAGAAAAAAAGCGTTTTTGGGTTTTTTTATAAACTTAAATTTTAAAAATTTTCCGGGAAAAATACCCCGGTCCCCCCCCCCCCCCCCCTAGTTAGTATTGTAACTCTGTGGAGTATTTAACCCTTTAAACCCTAAGATCAAAATTTGAATTCTCATTTGTTGCCCCTATTCATTTCCTGCAGAAGTAGTGGGGAGTAGNACAATATAATTTTTCTTGTGTATTTTTGTAAAGAACCCTGCTCTGCGCAGTAGGGGAGGAATGAGAGGGAGAAAAAAAGAAGATATTTTTTTATTTGAGTGTGGTGGAGGGGGAGAAAAGACCCGACGAGTGTATAAAGAGGGGGGGGGGGGGGGGGGGGGGGGGACCAGGGTATGCTTACCCGGAAAATTTTGAAAATTAGAGTTTCTAAAATCACCAGAAACGCGTATATTGCTATCAAACCGGAGAAAATGTTGTTAAATTAAATTTTTATCACCATTTTGCTAGTTTTTTACACAAAAACGTAAACTTACACATAATTATAATATATGGCGTTTATTCAACGTGACAAAAGATTTAAATAATATTAAGTAAGGCCAATCATTAAATTTTCAGCTGGATTCCACCAAACAGAATTAACAAAATATTAAGAAACAGAAATAAGTAAGGTAATAGGCAAATAAGGTTTTGCGTTCATCTATGTAGGGTCTATCATATGTTAGTCCAGCTAGCTGGCTATATGAAGGAGGCTGTTCAGCGTCGGTCGGTTGCAAAGTTACGTTTGCGGTTATTATTTCGACTGACAAATCCTTTAGTCACAACAACAAGTCACACAGCGTCAGTTCATGTCTCATGTTTAATTAAGATATCACCACTGTGTGTCCGGTGGGCCATCTAAGCTCGCTGCCATATGCTTACATTTAAAATAAATAGTCAAACGCTTACAGACATGTTGAATGACCGACACACTCTGAGAATAGCGTTCAGAGTTAGAAATGGATGGGATTTCAAATCACGTTGTACTATTAAAACATGGGACAACAGGAAATTCGCATAATTTGTCATGTGTATTCTCTCGTTTTAACACGGGGATTAGAAGTACTTTTGAAAAAGTCTAACAAAAGAATCCCGGCGAAATTATTGGTGGGGCTGTAACCAGCCTCTATGCTCCGCGGTCCCTGTAAGATTAATTTTAGGTCAGTAAGATAGCTATAGTATGATCCCAGAACGGATCCTTGTGGGATACTACAAGCCACATTTAGCTCTTCATGGATGAGAGTTCACAATTGTTATTTGTTTATTTACCAACTAAGTCTTCACTCTTAACTGAGAATTAATAATAATTAATAATAATTAAATAACTTCTAGAGCGCTATTTACATTCCTGATCAACAGCGCTTAACAACTTAACAACTTTATGATAATAAACTTAATTAGTAATACTAATAATAAAAGTGAATGTCAAACAGGTTACGTTGTAAAAGCTGCACGAAATAAATAAGTTTTCAGCTTACATTTAAAAACAGCTAACGATTGAATATCACGTAATTCAGCCGGCAAACTATTCCATAAATATGGGGCAGCAGCAGAGAGAGATCTGTCACGTAACGTGACAAGTATTTTCTCTTTAGGAGGGTCTAGCAATAAACTTTGATTTGATCTAAGATTATATATAGACCTAGGCTTAATGTTAATTAGTTCTATGATATACTTAGGTGCCAATACATGAATAGCTTTAAATGTTAAAATTAAGATCTTAAAATGAACACGATGTTGTACTGGTAACCAGTGAAGTTGATAAAGCGCGGGAGAAATATGCGAGTCCTTACTTAAGCTCAGTACAAGTCTAGCCGCAGCATTCTGCACACGTTGTAATTTAACTATTTGCGAGTTAGGAAGGCCATACAGAAGTCCATTACAATAGTCTAAACGTCTAGTGATAAAAGCATGAATAAGCGTCAGTAACGAATCGCGAGATAAATACTTCTTAATCCTTCTAATATTATGTAGGTGATAAAACGCGGCATTACCGATTTTAGTAACATGCGTTGACATTGACAACTTATTATCAAACTATGCACTTAGATTTCTAACACAGGAACTAGGATAAATATCATAATCGCCTACAGAGATATTACATACATCATTGATCTTACCTAATTGTTGAAAGTATTGCAGACTGTGATAAATAATTATAATGAAGGTTACAACAATGAATAAAACAAAAACATAAAAATATGTTTAACCTGCGTCCAGTGTAAACTGGCAAAATAGAATATTGCCGTCAATACCATTTTTTTATTTTCCTTTACACACTGGAAAAATTATTTTACTTCAAATACAGTGTTGGGTGTAACAATAACTAATAATAATAATAATAATAATAATAATAATAATAATAATAATAATAATAATAATAATAATAATAATAGTGATAATAATAATAATAATTTTTTTTAATAAATGAAAAAATTTTATTGACAACAATGCTAACTATTAAAATCCTATTTACAATTAATTCACTTGAAAAAAAGAAAAAACTATTCATTCAAAACACTATTTACAATTCCTGTCGATTTAAAAAGCACTTAATTTAGCTTAGAAAGAGTTAATTTAACTAAGAAAAATTTATTCGAATTAAAAACATTTCATTTCAATTAAAAAAAACTGTCAGCCTCTAAAATTCAAAAGTTTCTTCCAACTGTTTAAAAAAAATAAAAAAATAAAAAAATAATAATAATAATAAAATATAATAATAACAATAATAATAATAATAATAATAATAATAATAATAATAATAATAATAAATACATTCTTATATGGCGCATTTACAAAGCTCAATGAGCCTTACAATGATTTGCAAAGAGAAGTTAAAATCAAAATCCCTACTATTAAAGTAATTAAGTTCACCATAATGTTTACTAAAATAAGAAAGCTTCCCTAAAACGATGAGTTTTCAACTTGTTTTTAAAACAGATTACAGTCTTGGCATTCTTAATGTCCACCGGTAGGGAGTTCCACAATTTCGGTGCCACAAAAGAAAAAGCTCTACACCCGTAGTTTTCAGTTTTAGCTTTTTGAGGACACACTAGTGAACGTGACGCTGATCTTAAAGTTCGTGACGGTTGATACATTTCAATTAAAGGCTTCAGTTAGTCTGCAGACTGGCCATGTACAGTCTTATACGTTATGAAGAGAATCTTAAATTCAGTTCTCTTTACAACTGGAAGCCAGTGCAAGTTATTTAGTACAGGCGTTACATGATCTGAACGTTTTAGGCCCATCACACTGAGACGCGCAGCGGTATTCTGGATTCGTTGGAGTTTATCCCTTTGATATTTAGGAATACCGTACAAAAGACTTACAACAGTCCAATCGGGAGATGACGAGGGCATTAACTAACATTTTAAGTCCGTCTAGCGAGAAGGAGTGTCGGGATGAGTTAACGCAAGAAAGGTTCAATAAATCTTCGTTCCCATGGTCTTCTCCTACCCGTCTCTCGCTCCGTAGGGACGGCTAGGTGAGGACCCTGGGAACGAGTTTGGGGTCAATATTTAATCAATGTCAGCTGAAATCTGTTAATTTAACTTAATAAAGCCGCCAATAACAAGCAACTAATCTCGAATAGCAATTATACAAAAACAATTATAATTTTGGTTTATTTTAGGTACATGTTTCTTCACTCCTGTAATCGGTGGATGGTTTGCTGACGTTCTGCTTGGGCGCTATAATACCATATATGGGTGCTCACTGCTCTACACAGTCGGTACCATTCTCCTCACGGCTACTACTTACAGCTACCCACCGGCCTATGGTCTAAGCATGTCAAGTAAAGAAGGATTTTTAGGCGTGTCACTCATCCTTATTGCCATAGGAACAGGAGGAATAAAAGCTAACCTGTCTCCAATGGGCGCAGATCAAGTGAAGGAACAAGGGGAGCAAATGGTGCAGAAATTCTTTAATGCGTTTTATTGGTTCATCCAAATTGGTAGTATACTTGCTTTTACAGTTGTTGTGTACGTTCAACAAGAAGTGTTATTTTTTTACGGTTATCTGATATTAGCAGTTTCAATGACTTTAGCAACCATTGTGCTGCTTATTGGTAGAAGGAGCTACGTACTGCACCCTCCGGAGGGCAGTTACTTAACTGACACATTACGTATTATTGGTAAAGGCTTGAAAAACTACTTCTTTTGTAAGCGGAGATCTTCGGCTCTAATGAGCCACTGGCTTGATGGTGCAAAAGAATCAAAAGGAGGAACTTTCTCTGAAGAAATGGTGGAAGGTGTCAAGTCCGTGGTTCAGCTGATCCCGATCTTTTTAACATTTATATTCTACTGGACAATATATGGACAGGTGAGAGCGACTCTTTTGTAAACTTATTGCTTTTTCATGTCATTCAGCAATTCGAAGGGTCTTATAGGAGCGCATGAAGAGGAGAATGTGTGACAATGGGCTCGCTATAGAACTTTTTGTTTCAGCCTGTTCCACATTTTCATTTGTTTTGTGGCATTAATTAATCATGGTGGGCCTAATCCGACCACTCCTCAAATCGGCTATAAAATTGGTTAATTTACAAAGACTTTGTCGGCTTTTGCCTTTTATCTACCAGATCGTCGTGGCCTTCAAATATGAATATCAGGCCAATCGAATTAAATTTGGGTATATGATGGCACCAATCAAATGTTTGATGTCTCAGATTACGCCATTCATACGTCAGTTTTAAACTTCCACAATTTTATAAGAAAGCACCTTTCAAGGGGAGAAAAACTCTGAAAAAATTTATCGTATCACAATTATTGGCAGAGATAAAACATTTTGAATTTTGGAACGTTTGTAGCACAAATGGGAGGTACTCCTTCTCCCCCGCCCCCTGGGTATAATAATTCTTCTTCATAGAGAGGTATTGTATTGTTGTGTCGCCATTTAAGTTGTGTGTTTACCGTTGAAAGCTAAAAGAAAATTGACAAAATGGAAAACGGGGATTTCTACCATTGCTAGAACTATCCGTAGAACACAGTAAGAAGTCCCGTGATCCTTTTAAAATAAAATTTCCCAGCCTGAGCGTTTTCTTGCCACTATTATGCCACTATTAAAGGTTTATGTTACCGGAAAATCAACTTTAAATGAACAAAAAAAATGGGCGAAAATTCAATGGACACAAATTCATTGGAGAAACTATGGTGCTGGGGCGGCAATTTAATTTCTTTGAAGTCTCATAACTGGAGTTATATGTATGGTAGCGAGAAAAACAAAACCCGTTTTTTTTTTCTTTACTCAGGTACTAAGGTTCTTTAACTTCTAGTGATATGCCAGTGATTTAAGTTTGCCTACGAAAATTAACATTAATTTTCATTAAACCTCTTTGGGGACGTCTTTTTTTTGGTTGTGACTTCAAACAAAATATCTATCGTTTCATTATTTTATCAACAATCGGAGACTATCTGGCAAATTGGTAAAGAAAAATAAAAATGTGTCAAATTAGCCCAAATAACCAATTGAGGGATGGTTTGGCTCCTGAATAAAAAAAAAACAAAAAGTGAAATACTTCTATTTGTTAGTCACTACATTTAACTTCTTTGTTATATTTGTGCTTTTTCGAAACCTTAGTTGATTTTGTTTTTTTTTTTAGTGTTTTACAACGTTTGTCCTTCAAGCTTCCTACATGAATTTAAAAGTTTCAGGGGAAACATCACTTCCCGCGGCCTCACTGAATCTGTTTGAAAACATTCCCCTGCTTGTTCTTATTCCATTTATCGACCGAGTGGTGTACCCAGGTCTGCACCGTCTTGGTTTTAATTTGACCCCACTGCGCAGAATTGGTGTTGGGTTGCTGTTCGCCGCGGGCTCAGTTGCTTTAGGAGGAATTATCGAAATGGAAAGGAAACACGTCTTACACACTAACGGGACGTTTAAACAAGACTTGTTCAATAAAACCGTGAACGCATCCACTATGAGTGTGTTTTACCAAGTACCTCAGTACGTCCTACAAGGAGCAAGCGAGGTTCTGGTTGGCGTTACAGGTAACAGTCCACATTTATGTTTGGAATTTCAACTTTACAGAATCTTGATGGTAAATTTACAGAGCGGCAGTAACAAATAGCCCAACAATGTCGTTTCAGGACGGGCAGGGAATTTTAATATGTTTAGAAACATTTAGTCAATAAGTTCATTCCTCGGCTCTTCACTGCTCTCAATAAAAGTCACCCTCCCTGCTGAGAAAAATTTAAAATAAAAAAAAATTCTCTTGGCTGACATATGTAACTTGCGGATATAAAATATTGGTGAAGCCACGATATCATAAAAAAACAACATGGCGTCTAGAAAACGAAAGCTGAACGGCACGGAAGACATAAATAGTAGTGTATTTGATCAGGATAAGATTGACTGAACTTTCCGGAGAAGTACATGGAAGTAACGACTATATTTTCTGGTCATCGTAGAATTATTAGAATTTGTTAGACGGAAGACTCACAGTAACACTCATTCCAATACTCAGACCAACGTCAACTTTGGCCCTGTTACGACAGCGACTATACCGTACATCAGAGGCACCTCCGAAACTATCGCACTGTGCGTGTTGCTGCTCACAAACCGGCAACCACTTTACGAATGTACGTACAGTTGTGTTGGGAATGAACAGTGGAGCAGAACTCGTAGCGTTGTTACATATGCATAAACATTTGTTTCTTTCTTTGGTATCAATATAATTATTGTTCCAAAGTCCACAGCCACTTGTTTATGCCTTACAACTTTAGATTAAAAATTTTGATGTTTGTAAAGAAACGCAAAAAGAGCACTCTTATACATTAGATGGGCTTTTAACCGGGGGGGGGCTATATCCGGAATAATATCTTCGTTAGCAAGTCGATGGATTAATCTCATAAGTGCGCAAAAGTCAACAACCAAGTGTTTATGTCTAATAAGTTGAACTAAAAAATTTTGATGTTATCAAAGAAACGCAAAGAGAGCGCTTTTTTCCGTTCGTGGGGTTTTTAACCGGGGGGGGGCTATATCCGGAATAATATCTTCGTTAGCAAGTCGATGGGCTTATATCCGGGGGGGGCTTAAAACCGGGGGAGGCTTTAACGTGGGATTTTACAGTAATCACTTAAATACAACATCAAAATTTCACAGGCAATTAAAATAGTTGCACTTCACAACCAGAGTGTGGGGGTCGTGGACTAGAAAGGATTGTAGTGATAATTAACAGACTGTAATCTAATGAAAGAGGGACCGTGAAGAATAGTAGCACCACATCTGAATTTCAGTCCCCTAACATTTTGATAAGTTCAATTATAGAAACCCCCTGTAGGCGTTCTCCTTCGTCGAACGCAATAACCCCCTGAATAGACAAGCGGGGGAATTCATGTTGACGTTTCTTCTTTCAGGTCTCGAGTTCGCTTATACCCAGTCCCCTGCCGACCTTCGCGGCGTAGTCATGGGTTTGTGTCTCGCAATGATTGGTTTTGGCTATTACGTAGCATCAGCGTTGGCTTCCATTGTTAAACACGCATCAAATGGTGATTGGTATCCTGAAAACCTCAACAAAGGATATGTGGAATACTACATGTTCCTGTTGGCTGGGCTTATGTTAGTGAATGCCTCTGTGTTTCTGTTTTTAGCAGTTAGGTATCGATATTTAAATCATGATCGTGAAATGAATGTAACTTGTCCGAGGACGATCTTCACAGAGATTACTGTGAGTGACCTACAAAGGGACTCTAGAGTTATAGCGACAGCCCTCATGTAGACTACAATCCGTTACCTCTGTTGGTGCACCTGCATGGAGGTCCAGGGAGAGGCCAGACTGGTACTTTGCTGCAGCTAGTTTTTTTTTTGGCACTTTTCTCATCAAAGTCACAGCTAACCCTGACAGAGGTATTGCTATCGGTACTGAACATTTTACTCATAACGTGGTTACCGGGGACGTTTTTGCACGATTTTGTCGTGTGGTGGTAGTATGGATATCTTCTAGAACTAGGTGGGGGCTCAAGAAACAATACGTTACGCATATATTTTTAAAGAAATGTTTGCATGGATAGTACAAAATTTATTTCGGAGACAAGTTGAGGATTTTGGACAGGTAGTCTTTAAACAAAAAATGATTATTAGTGCCTATAACGTAAGAATTTTTATTCCTTTGGAGAAGATTTTGCCGTCTGAACGTATCATGACTTTTTTGTTAGAAGTTTTGAAAAGTTCAAATTTGCCGCCATTTTGGCATTCCATTCTTCTTAGTCTTCTCTCGGAACAGTTGACCAGCACCGTTTCAAAGTGGCTCTCTGATTGGTCCGTTTTGCCTCGCAGTGAGTGTTTCCGTACCAGACTGTACCGAGCCGATCACAACACAGAAAACACGACACCTTTTTCAACCTCCTTTTGTTTCGCGTCTGCTTCACTCGCTAGAGATTTCATTCCGTCACAGTGATTGCATTCCTTAAAGGACTACACAATTGTTACCCCAGAATACGTATCCCCTGTATAGTGCCTTACCAGATAGATATGCCTTCCCTGTGATGCTTTTAGCATATGTTATGAAAGCTAGGTTTAATGATAATAGTAGCTTCTAGTTTATTATTCGGTATTCCGAGTTAGGGGTGAAACTTTTTTTCGGTACAACCGGTACACTCGGTACAGTTGGTTCACTGGGTACAGCCAGCACACTCGGTACACTCCTTGTATTATGCTCGGTGGCCTGGTACACTCGGTACAGTCGGTAGGCGCGGTATAACGATCTTCTCGTATACTGACAGCAGTAGCTGTTGTGGCAGGAGGATTCTTTGAGATCGAATTTACTTCATACATCAAGGCACACAACACCTGTTCTGATGATGTTGAAGACATGCGCAAAGCATAGGAAACCGAAGGTAAGGGGCCAAAAAGTTGGTTGGCTATCGAAAATATCAAGTAGAGTCTTATTACCAGTGAGAAATAGTATTTATGCCTACGAGCTGGCCAATTAGAGGGCCGCTTTGGATCGGTGCCTGGCAACCCTCTCGGAAGCCACTCGGAAACGAAGGAGCTGTGACGTAAGTAAGGAACTATGACGTAAATTAAGGAATACGTAACTGAAACAGCTGTTAAAAGGCAAAAAATGCCAGTAAGATGCGTTACAGTTAGAAGCGGCAACACTGGCGACTCTAAGAAAGGGGTTCAAGCATCCAAAAAAATACCGTTTTTCAGTTCCTGAAGTTATGTCTCATGAGCCTGTCAATCTTGTGATCAGCGCAACAGAGTGTGCCAAAGAACCATGATTGTGTTAAAATCGCAAAATGTTCCCGCTGAGGTTCGCGCAGTAATGTGTAAATTTGTATGTCACCGGCACTTAAGCCTTGATTTCAAATGGATAGTCAGAAGAAGTAGGAATAAGTAGGCTTCGATAACGGATGAATAATCGCACTTAAATCAACTGAGTCACTGTAAAAAAATTCGATCTATCTACGTCATAGATCTCGAGTCCTGTACTTCTAGGACAGAGCGTCATTGGAGGTGGACATCGATCTCGAAAGTTTCCCGAAAAGTCTGCCATTAATTTCGCCCGAACCCAAGCGTTTGCTTTAACCTTCGTCCGAAGTTTCCAGAAATTTGCATGTCACTATATGTATTCCTAGTCTGAAATTCCCTTAAGCGCCTGACATTAAATTCAATTGAGATTGTGCAAATTTTGGTTCCTCATATTTATAAGCAATCCGAAAATGTTTCCGACGCGAGTGAATAAAAACATGCCTGTTAGTTCAGAACGTAAATTTTATTCGAAAGATAGGTTTCCTGGAGTAGTTTAGCCAAGAATTCAATGAGTGCCTATCAGAAAGTGGGTTTGTTTACTAACTTTACTAATTGATACTCGTGTTTTAGTTCCACTTTTCTTAGTACGTGCCAATCCTACTGCACTGTATTGACATCCTTTTTATACTATGTTTTTTTTTCTAGCTATATTTCCTTCATTATGATTTTAGACTCAAAAAAATTATTAAAAGAGTAATTGAGGGTTCTCTTTGATGCGCTGTTTGTGCCGTTTGAATTTTTACGATATATCTCAATTCTTAGTGAGTGGTAGTTTAAAATAATACTCAAACCAGTACACCAAATTTGGCAAATAGATGCTGTGATGAATATGGGGCAATCAGGTCGTCTTTATTGGTTTTTCTTTTCTTTGAAATTGAAATTTATAGAAATCGTTTTATATCAAAATAAAGCATGTTAAATTAAGATAATAAAGGGTAGTAAACCTTCAAAGTAGAGTTATCTTAAAAACGATAATCTTAAACACTCTGATTGATTGCAAATTTGGCAACTAACCTTTATTTGTGTTTAAATCGTGAAAATCACAATCAAATTTTTGTTTGCAGCTAAAATGAAGCTCCGTTCAAAACGTTTTGATCGATGGCCTTCATTGTTATTTGATCAAAGTTTTTCTTTGACGTACAGCTCCAAAAGTACAATCGTCACATTTTTTGTCTATGAATACATTTAATCACGGCTTTAATCAATCTAGGACAGAATATTATTCATTTTAATACATACTGCGAAGGCAACCATTCTCTTCCACACATACATTTTTAGATAGAAGAGAGAAGCGCCTGTTTTTGCTTTTCGTAATATTTATAGCGCGTCTGTTACACCAAAACTATTCCAACTTGTTTGTTTTGACTTGAAAATTCGATGACTTCTGCAAAAAAAGAGAAAAGATAAAAACAACCGTTTCAGGGAAATAGCATTTGACATTTTATTGCTGCTGTGAAAGTAAGCAATGCTGACTTGTTTTTTTTCTGTAACAAAAACAGGAATAATCGCAAATCAACGCTAATTGAGATTAACTGAAAAAAACTGCTATTTGGCGAACAGTGACCGTTGTTTCTAGTATTTAGCGCATGATCGCAGCGACCGCCTACCTTCTTAGTACTATGATACTAATTTTCACATTCACTCGCTCGCTGCTGGAAATATAGCTTTATGTATTAGCCATGTATTGTGAATAATGGTATAATCTACGGCTGCTCTGTTGGAAACGACGCAAAAGATTGACGCTTTAACATGTGGTTTGCAACAGAAATAAAGTTTGAGTCAAAATAACACTTTTTTGGATTAAAAGTCCCTTCAAGGCCCCCAAGAGTTCGATGTAAGTCGGGTTCATTTCTGCATCAGTAAATTAACAGCCTCATATCGGGTCGGACTGTATTTGATAGGAATTTGAATAAGTTATAGCACACCGGTTCGTATATTAACGTAGCAATTTCGAGGAGGCTGCGTCACATGTTGGGATAACCTTTCTCTGTTTTTGAAATGAAAGGCTTTTTCTTTGCAAAATATTCTGAACGGTTGATTTTCTTGCTGCCCGCGTATTGTCTTCTTGCTTTGTCTTTCAAAGATGAAAAAATCAGCAAGCGGCCTCTTCGAAATTACACCTGTTTCAATCAATTATGATTTCCAATTGAAAAGCCACGCGCGTTAATTACTCTTGATGAGTTCGCCACTTAGCGCCAAATCTCAGGTCTCATGGTGCAGTGTTATTGTTGATAATTAAATCCTTTGTGATTGCTTTAACAATACTGTACAAACAACCTGTGTTGTTTTGAACCCCGTCTGCATACGAAAACAGAAAACAGTGTACTTGGACACAAAAGCTTAAAAGAAAACGGTTCTCAAGATCAAGCTCAACTGTGTCATGACTCCTTTTATTTTGCACGGTGCGGGCTGTTTAAGTCCTTTCCTTTGGAGCGAAAACTCTAAGTTAAATTGGATTCAGGTGGTTTTGTTAAGTAATGAATGAAGGTGTAAATGATCCACTGACGGACTATAGCAGGAAAAAAACTATCGGAAAAGGCCAGTTAAGATTGATTTTTTTTTAACATTCTTATTGAGGCTACTGCCTCTCTAGTTCGAATTGTTTCACAAATATAATCGTCTTTCGGTTGCACAACTAAAGAAATCTTAAGTCTGTTCTGATCGAAAACGAAGAACAGTTAACAAAACAAAACTTGCCACTTTCTTCTGCTCACGTAGTCTCCTTCCAGAACAAACTTCCGAGGAAAAGATCCGTCGCGAAGTTCAGTAACATTCTTGCTTTATTCCAAAAAGAAATAAAAGGGTTTTATCACGTCTTTTCTTGGTTCTGTCGATGAAAAGCTTATAGGTTTATCATTGCGGTCTCCTGGTTATGCTAATGGACAGGTTCGACACTTGTTAATAAGTTATAAGTCTCCTTGCAGCCTCTACTAGGCATTTCTATGATATTTCACATGTTCTTTTTCACCAGCCCGCGAAGTAGAAACCTAATGTCATGAAAGCAAGAAAAAATAACGCTGAAGAACAAAAAGACCAATAACTTCGGGAGCAAATTTTATTGTATGACATTTTTTATTGGATTTATACAAGTGTTTTCGGCTTGATTTATGGACGGGAGTCGTTTTCACAGAATTGTGAAGCCACAGCCCTTCGTAGTGCAGTAAAAAAAAATTCGGCATGCTACATACGAAACTGCGAAATATTCATCATCAGTTATACCAAGTTCTTATCATTTCACCATTACTAACGGTACCAACAAGATTAGCCGTAAAAATAAAATGTTAACTCCAGAAAATTTGATTTCCAGTAATGTGGCATTTAGCTTTTCAGTTGTGGTAACAACAAACAAATTTACTATTTCTTAGAAATAAATCAAAGAAGCTGCACTCGCGCGTTTGAAAATACTTGAAGCGTTTGTAGTACGTGTAAGTTCAAGATTTACAACTGCAATCTCTTTAGCGATCCTTCACGAAAATGAAAAAAGAGAAAGTTCAGTCTAAATCTCTGGCTTATTCGCCATAAATATTTGATCAGTAAACCATCCATTTGCTTTATGTGTTAATGTCGATTAACTGTCACCTAATGCAAACCGCTTGACTTGCTTTTTTCCTTGTTTAATTTTGTCCGTTGCACTCGGCAATGTGGAGCTTGAGATCGCAGCGCCTGGTGAAACAAGTCTTGCAGAAACGGCAGCGGTACGGTGCATTGTCTGTGTGGATGTGCATGTGGAATTTCAGATTGGAAAGCTTGTTAAATGCTTTCTCGCAAAGATTGCAGTGATATGGTTTCTCTCCTGTGTGGATGAGGACGTGATTGCGCAAATTGCCTTTTTGATGGAAACCTTTGCCACAGATGTCGCAGACGAATTCTTTGAACTCGCTGTGCGTGCGAACGTGAGTCTTCAGGGTGGATGAGCGATTAAAGGCCTTGTCGCAGATGTGACACTTGTGAGGTTTTTCAGATGTATGAATGATTTTATGCCGACAGAGCGTGCTGGATAAGCGGAAACCCTTTCCACATATGGCGCACACAAACGGCTTGGCGCCAGTGTGGGAAGGCATCTTCAGGTGGATGGTTAACGTGTACTTGGTTTTGAAAATCTTGCCGCACTGATCGCACTTGTAGGGCTGCTTACTCGTCGAACTGTTGTGTGAGGGAGACAGCTTCTTGGAGGCTTCACGCTGCTGTTTTGCTTCTTCATTGGCTTGCTGCGGAGCCCTTTTATGGATTTTGACCGATCGCGTTTTGTCCCTTGCTTCTGTACTGGTGTATTCTGTGGTTTGTGTATAGTCTCCAGGGCTGGTTGAATTTAATTCGATGTCTCGCAGACTTTGATTTGGCTTCATATCAGTCATGTACCTCCCTCGGCCAGCAGTGAATAATTCAGCTTGGTTTCGTCTCTCGTCAGGATATTTTCCATGCAATTGTGAGCCAAGTTCCCTGATAGTATTTTGCCGCAGAAAAGTATACCTCCGAGGCAACGTCTCTGACTTTAGAGGAAATCCATCCCAACTATCAAACTGTAAAGGTCCTACGAATGAACAAAATTAAGACTTAAAATGATTCGACTTGAAATTAAAATATTTCCCATTATTTTACGTTTTCGAAAGCTCAAATAAAAATGTTTCAACTAGTTCCTACCGTGAGTGGGACAATCCTCTTGTCTGTAATTCCATTCCTGTTTAAAATGACGTCGAAGCAAAAATGACTTGGGCATTGTCTTGGATATGAATACTCCCTCTTTTTCAATTTATATTCTTTCAGTTCTTCAATCAGATACTACAACTTCCAGTTCCAGAGACTTGGAGTGATCTTCTACAGCTAGTTGTACTTTCGCTTGTAAGCGAGACCTTTCAAATGAACCACACGTGCCATCTAGTCGGAGTTAAAAGTCTTCAAATGGCGGTAACGTGTTAATACAATCAGTGTTTTATCTTCTGTTGTCCAATCGGCGCGTGCCATGGGCATAATCGGCTTATTGTTGTTGTTTACTATAGACACTCTTGATTGGTTAACAACAGGTTGTTATTTCGTAGTCTGAGAGCAGAAAAACCTTCGTATAGATGTGGATACGAAAAAAAATATATATTCTGCTACAACTCTGGGAACCATATAAAATCAAGCTTATTCGAAGGGAATTATTGATAAGAGGGAGGATAGATAATGAAGTTAAAGATTTAATATAGAAGAGTAACGTTTGTTTTGATTCTCCCCCCTGATTTGTGCCACCTGTCACATAAAAACACGCGCGAGGTCACTTTTGAGTTAGCCGTGCGACAGAGAATGACAAGTCGGTTGCTAGAGAACCATAAAACATTTATTGTCGAATAACTTGAGATCGTTATTTCTTTTCATATAATACTACTAGTCAGGCAACACACAAGCCAGTAATTTATCAGAAGAGCTCATTTGAAATTTCGATTGCTTATTGCTTTAATGCAAATGAAACTGAATCAAAAAGTTTTGCTTTAAATTGCTTTTATTTTCGCTTATTTTGATTTTCATTTTGTCGGCGAAACGGCAGCTGCGCGCGATGATATGATGAGCTTTACGACATATCTCAGCTAGCGACCGCAATGTTTTACCTTGCTAATGAAGCCTGTTCTCCCGCCTTTTTATAAATGAGCATTTTATGCTGGACTTCTTCAGTGTGTTATTAATTATTCAACGTCTTCCTGCGTTGTTTTTAGTTGGCAAACAATACAAAGCAAGGCTGGAAACCACTTTGGTAAATTCACTTCAAGTGCTGATTTTTAGGCCAATTGCCGGCGCACAAACCTTAAATGTCACAGAGGAGGTATTTTTCGTGCAAACTGTTCAGATACCAGTTTCAGCTACATTAGTAATATCAGTCACAACGCATTTTTTATTCGTTGACAAAATATCTTTTAAGACTTTTAATTCCCGGCGAAGAGACGACGTCAGTCGGCCGTTTTCTGTTGCGCCCTGTTGCGTTTTTGATTACATGGACAATTTTCTGCGAATTTTTTCTGATTTAACTTAAAATGAAATTGGCATAGATTAGTCCGAGCAACAGTAATTCATTACGTTAAATTTGTAATGAATGCTCAGTTCCATGCGTTGACGCCCCAATGGTTTCAAATGAAGCTTGTTACTTTTGAGGCGCAAATTGTACCACATACAAGCTACACAATATTCAAACCAATTTGCCTTCCTGTTCGGTGATAAATTGAAAGACCAAAACAAATTACATGTAAAAATTGCTAAAATGATCTGTCGAAATAGTGAGATTTTGCGAAGGGAATTGTTCAATTCGATGGAGCAACTTAATGATATGATTTTTTTCTTGACAAAAAGAGCTATGCTGCAGGTGTTAAAAATAAATAGCATTCTCATATTTTTTATTTTGGACTCCCATTTGCTTCGATAGTTTTAAGACCGGCAAAACCATCTCTACCGCTGTGAAAATCAATATTCCAATAGTGACTATAGTGCTAAATTAAAAGTGAAATCGTAGGCCAAATATTCTTTTTCTTAATAAAAAACCATGCAGTATTACGGTATGAAAATTAAGAGATGGACGTTTTCCACGCCACTCGTGTGCGGCAAGATATACATGGCAATGTACATGCGCGCACAATTCGCGTGCCAAGATAAATCAAAGCCTGTAAATTTTCACAATTGGTTCTAGAAGATAACTTTTGCTAAGCGGCAATCACAAATTTTTATTATGCCAAACAAAACGAGGTATTTAATGGGCGTATTGTTTATAAATACAATGAAATGTTACACGGGAGATCATTAACGTTTGTTCCAATTTTCTAGAAAATAGCACATGATATTAATAACGAACTACACCGAAAAGTTCTTAAAGATCTTTGAGCGTTTTTATAAGAACTCATGTTAAATTTCTGAACATCCTCCCGTTCATAGGACCTGTATTACGTCACTTTAAAGGAGCTTCTTAACGGGTTTCTTCACCTTGATAAATTTAACATAATATCAACGATGTGCTTTATCTAAAACCCTTGATCCAAATTTAACCTCAAGTGATCTTTCATTGTAATGAAGAAATATTTGCCTCCAGTTTAAGATGATTTTGTACGTTGTAAAGTAACAACTGAATATATCGTAAGAGAGCAGCAGCTCCGTTAATAACAAAACGTGCCCAGTTTGTAACTTATTTCTTTCCTTTTTCTTCTTTTGTTCTTGCGAACAGCTAAGGGATACTATATATGAAAATCCACTATCAGTAGCTGGTTTTGTTAAATGTCCTGGCGAACGTTTAAAGGTTTCCTAAAAATGGAATTACCCGGGGGGGGGGGTACTCCCATACATTACCTATAAGGGTATGTGCCGCCCAACGGGGTCGTGATTCTGAAGCTCTTGATTTAGAACGGGGTATCCATTGCGTTTTCTAGAACGGGGTGTAAAAATTGTGGATCACGGCTTTATCTTCTGCTTAAAATTGTTGTTGATTATGAAAAAACATTCATTTGTTGTGTAAGTCGAACAAATAAAGAAATATCTTTCTTAAAAAACAGGGCTATTTCAATGTACAAACTTTGTAGAACGGGGTATCAGTTCTAGGGCGAATTCTAGAACAGGGTATAAAAAATTGGCCCATTCCTAGACCGGGGTATCAATTTTAGGGGATTTTTTTTTTTTAGAACGGGGTGCCAATTTGGAGACCCGGGCGGCACATACCCACCCCGCGCAAAACGTGCCCCCCCCCCCCCCC